TTCTATAAGCCCCTGCTAGAGGGGCTGGGGCTCGAGTTCACCCGGGGGCTGGCCCTTGCCCCTCCTCTGTCCCAGCACTAATGAGGTCACATCAGGGCCGTTCCCTTTCTCTCTCCTGTCTCCCAGGGGCCATGCCTGGCTCTGTACTGAGAGCTTAGTCCTGGGAGCACCCCGAGTTCTCGGAGCACCTGTTCCTGCCACTCCCGCCTCAGGCCTTCCCCCGCCCAGCCCTGCTCAGCACCCCATCCCCCAGTGTGCTTGTGGAGCGCTTTAAAATCAACAGGGCTTCCTCACCAGGCCTCACTGAGAGGGGGTCCCGGGAGAAGGGGTGCTGAAGGGAGAGCCTGGCGGAGGCAGCAAAAGGCCCCAACGATATCATGCAACTCTGGCTGGTGCTGCGAGGGGACGGCTGACTCTCCGCCCTCACGTCTGCCCCGCCTGCTGGGTCAGGCCACCACCAATGTAGGGGGTGCTCCACTGTGGGGGTCCTGGTCTGAACTCCTCGGCAATGGCTCACAGAGCGTTTGCATCAAGGGAGCAAACCCACACGCTGTAGCCTCCCGAGGGGCCTCAGCTTCAGACTCAGAGAATCTCTGAGTGTCAGCTGCTTATCTGGGAACCAGAGACAGCTATTCCCACCTGGCACACAGCAGGCTGTCAACAGATGTCCATTCAGTCGTTTGTGATTGCCTAGATGTAATTCCATGCCTCACCTACACAGCACTGCCGACTGCATCGGGGGGCCTGGGGGCGGGGGGCACTGCCACTGCCACAGTAAGAAACTGCCTAGGTTGTCATAACTTCATGACCTTGTGCTTCATTCAGAATTACCTGGCGTCCCACCAAATGGCCGTGTGGCGTGCAAGGCAGCCACACTAATTACTCTGCAGACTGCCACTCACTCTGCATTACAGGCGTGTTTTCAAACTCCGTCTGCTCTGCATCCTTTCACCATCACTGAAGGCTGCAGCCCTGGCTTTATTGGTCACTAGGGGGCGCGTAAACAGCGAGAAGCTGTGTGATCCTTTTTCTCAATCCAACCAGCAGTAATTAAAAACTTGGAGCACTTGTAAGAAAGGCAGAACCTGCATTCTACAATAAGGTCTGCATTCTTAAAAAGCAAACCAATAGTTTCAAGATTCTTTTCTGTCTTCTGAAGCAATACGTATGCCCAAAGCAACCGAAACGCCACCCAAAGCAATGGCGTGATTATCAATTCTGCGTCTGCGGGTCTGTTTTCCCTTTCCCCGTCACTCCGTGGGTCCAGACATTCGGCTGCTGACCTGCACTCTTGTGGGAACCCTCCGACAGGATGAAGGAGCAGTCCTGGCTCCCTGTTTTGGGGACTCGATAAGGTTCTGCTCGTTGCTGGTCTGATATTTAATGTGCCTCAGTACCCAGGCGGAGCTTGGCCTCAGGCTCAGACCGTGGCGGGTGGAGCAGGAGCCCACTGCTGGGACGCACAGCAACAGGCACGGTGACCTGCGGGAAGTGACTGCAGGGGGCCACGCGGGACCTGGGACCCGAAAGCTACCAACTCCTGCCACATGCGCAGGAGATAGGCCAGCCCTGGAGAGGAGGCATGGACACAACGAGGACATCAAGATTTTCTCCATCATCACTTTCAAATTCAATACTTTCCATAAAAATCCCAGCAGAATTTGCTTTTTTGAGAATTTGTCAAAATCATTATAAAATTCATAGAATGGCCAAGAAGTTTTGGAAAACAAAGAAGAATAGGAGGAGCACTCCTAAATGTGAAAAACGTGGGATAAGGTGATATGAATGAAAGGTTTGGTGACAGTACAGACGGCGATGGGACTAAGAAGAGGCGTCAGACTCAACTGCGGGAGAATTTAAAACGTGGTTAATGTGCACCTCTAAGAGTCAAGCAGAAGATGGCGTCGGGGAGGGAACTTTGTTCCTGGACCCTGTCAGAGAAACACCTATCCACACTGTGGTCAGGCGGTGACGCTTGGTGAGCCTCTGCGGTGAGGGCCGTACAGGCGGAGGGGTACAGGCTGGACCCCTCTAGGAGCTTCTGCTGCTCGCGTGTAAAAGGGCTGAGGGAGTGTTTTAATTCAATGAGAGAAGGGGCCTGACCTCATGAGCCCACCCGCCCAGGCAGGCCTCGCCCTTGGAAGTGGTGACGGGTCCCATCTCGCTGTTCTAAGTCCTCCGTGGGAATCTTTAACATGATGACTTCTCATGGCAGAAAGCGAAAGGATGAGACTGACCGTGCGCTTGGTCCCCGTGAGGCCCAGGCACATGCAGCGCAACCCCGACGGCAGCCTGCCTCTCCCGCAGGCGTCCATGCTGCTGGCCCGCACCCTTTCCTCTTCCTGCGCGTCCAGTAACAGCGGGGGTCCCACAGGCCATCCAACAGCACGCTGGGGCCTCAGAAGCCACACTGATTATGCGGAGTGCCCATCATCCTAAGAGCCAGACCCAGCGTCCCAGGTCCCAGGGGAAGCCCCTGGTGTCACGTGTGTCTGGGCTATGGGTTCAGGCCAGGCCCAGGCCCAGCACGTGGCTGACATGTCGCTTTCTGGACTGAAAGCACCCCTGGTCTGGCCAGACCTGCCTCAGGCTGTCTGGGTGCCCTCTCTCCTGCCATGCCATGCCGGCCCTACAGACGGAGCAGTTTGGATTTGGACAGGGAGTCCATGCTGCCTTTAAAACTGGGCTGAGGCTCCGACGGGAAGCAGCTGTGGCCGCCGTCAGCTCACTTGACCCCTTGACCCCGCCCTGACGTTCAGGTGGACGGGAAGGGGACCGGCTAACAGCCGGCTGAGCATCTCTGGTCCAGGCGCTGGGCCAGCACCTCACATGCCTTCAGCCTCCCTGAATCTTCCCCATGATGCTGTGACAGAATGACCGGGACCCTCTGCCCAGGAATTAACCCCAGTTCACAGGGGCGTCAGCAACACCCCCCTGCCCCGCAAATAAGAGGACTCAGTTGGAGCCCACAGTTCAGGGCAGGGACTGTCTGCAGCAGGGGAGGGCAGGACAGAGTTGGGGGTGGTGGGGGGTCTTAATCATTCGCTTGCCAAACACTGACCACTCTGGTCTGGGCACGTTCTGGACATTCGTGCTGTGAGCGGGACAGACGGCCCAGGGGCGGAGGCGAGAGCGGAACCCGGTCTCACTCCCAGCCCCCAGCTTTCTCCTCCAGTCCACGGCACCTCAGGCCGGAGCTCAGGGCGGGCAAGTGACTAGCCCGCGTCCTGCAGCCGGAAACTGGCAGAGCCAGCACCCAGGCTTGCAAGGCTGCGCACAGAACACAGCTCAGCGTCAGTCTCCCGTAAGCCGACTAGTGGATGACACGACGGGGCACGCAGCTGAGTGAAGGGCAAGGGCCTGATTTAACTATATTTTCCGAAGGCTTGGCTAGCAGTGCCTCTCACTGTCACATGCGATCGTTACAACAGGGGCGCTTGGGCTGCAAGAGGCACAGCCTGGATGGCAACGACTCACTGGCAGCAGTGTTGGAAGCACTGGCATCCTCATTCCAGAACATTCTCTGCAGTGTAAACACAGATGACAGAGAAACACGCTGAGGCTGACAGCAGCTCAGAAGCCCAACTGCAGGGCCTGGCACTGCGGCCAGCGCTGGGGAGCAGGAGACCCGCGTGCAGGGACCCCAAGCCAGCCGGAGCAAGGAGAGGTGCGTGGACACAGTCGTGGGACCCTCCCTACCCCCGCTCCCAGCCACGGGGAGGGGTCCAGCACCACACGGCCGGCCAGCCAGAGCAGGTGCGGATGGCAGCAGACCTGGGCCCGGCCAGCTGGGCTCTGCCCGCTGTACAAACTTGGGAAAGTGACGCGTCTCCTCTGAGCCTCCCTTTTCTCATCAGAAACAACGGGGGTAACAACACAGATGCTCCCTCTGGGCCACCATCCCCGAAACTGGTCACACAGCCTGAACTGGACTTCCCAGCGAGGGCCACGTGCCAGAGCGTGGCTGGAGTACTCCCTCTCACAGACTCCACGTGCCCCGTGCTCTCCGCGGTGGCAGGCCCATCCCCTCCTGGAACGCCCAGTCCCAACCACCAGCTCCGAGTGGCCCCGTGGGGCAGATGTTTGTGTGGAAGAGCCCATGTGACCTATGCTCTGGGCGTCTCATGTCACCCGTCCTCACTCACATGCAAATACTGCTGGACCATTCCAGAAAAATCTGGCTAAGCTAGACCCTTGGTACCATTACTGGTTTATAATGACAGGCTCTCCAAATTGCAGAGGCCGCCTGTCATGTTTCTGTGTGCTGGCCCGGCAGCCCAAACTTCCTTCCTCCACGAGCCTGAGCCTCTGTCCTCAGTGGGAATTCACTTATTCTGGCCGGAAGCGTCACCCCTCTGACTGCCCCAGCAAATCTGAGCAGAAATCCAGGCCATCGGCCCCCTTGCAGAATGTAACTGTCCGCCGAGGGCTGCGTGATGCTCTGCAGGCACGGCCGGGGGTGCTCAGGTTACTGAGGCCACGCTGGGCACAGTTGGGTCTTGACACCTGACAGTGGATCTCACGGTGCATTAGCCCGCAGAGGGGTGGTCCTTGGAACACACTCAGGGCCACGTCTCATTCAAAAGGGCAGAAACTGTAACCCACATGGGCTTCTGAGACCTGTGAAGGGGCTGTTACCAGGAGTCAGGCTGACGCTGGTCCTGGGCCCACTGCTGAGGCCCAGCCAGGGAGGCAGGTGACAAGGTACACACACGTCCCTCCAGACCCGAGCTCACACACCCCAGCCCCCATAGAGGAAGCAGCATCACTCCCTAGAGCAAGTCTGATAACACGGTGGCTCCAGCTGTTAAACAAACCCCTTGAGTCTCAGAAGCAAGACCTGATCACTCGCTTCTGCCGCCGGGATGTCCCAGCCCGACACTTCCCGCCCCACCAGCACCGTGCTCTCCAGTGACGGGGGACACTGCTTGGCCCCTGAGAGCACTGGGTCATGCCACTCGCCGTGGCCTCAGGCTGTGGGGTGGGGACACCGGGCTTACCGGCCTCGCCGACGAAGACCTCCACGGGCGCGCTGGCCGGGCTCTCGCCGATGATGTTGTAGGCCGTCATCACCACCTCGTAGCGCCGGTATTTCTTTAGATCTGCAGGGTGACGGGCACGGGTCAGCTTGTCAGGACCACCTCCCTCCCTGGGAACGGTCCCTCTTGGAGGCCCTCTGAGGAGCCTGGGGAACAGTGAGGCGTATCTCACAGAGGCCTGGGAAGGGCTGCCTCCAGTGTCACCAGCACAGCCCCGTCCCCGTCTCCAGATCAGTGACCAGTGGCCACACTGGTGAAGCAGAGACCCATCTCGCCCTGCACTCTGGGGAAGGTGGCAGCAGGGCCCTCTTCTAAGGGAAGCATCTAGGCTACGGGTGTGGTGGGGGCTTGCCTGCTGGTCCAGAATCTCTCATTAAAAGTAAGAACACATGGGTAAGACCCTGGCACTTAATATTGTTTTAGGCAAACCCAAGTCCTTTGCGTTTTTAATGACTGTGTCCTGGGAAGAGAGGGTGTGTGAAGCCACATGTATAGAATTACACAGGGCAGGTGACAAGCGTGAGAGACGTGGCAGACGTAGCTGACCCGTACAGGAAACATCCTGGAAGGTTCTCCCATTGGCTAACATTGCTTCTCAGTAGCTTGGCTTTACTGAGGCCCATGTCTGGTCACCCGGGTGAATGGTGACACGTAGGCCTGTGCGTCTTGCCTCCTAGTGAGATACTAGCTCAGCAAAGGTTCAATGAATCAGAAACCTACGTTCTCCCACTGTCGCTCCCAGAAATGTCAACAAGGTCGTGCCCACGTGGCTGAGCGGGACCGCTGCAGCTGTGCTGCCCTACAGAGGACCCATCGGAAGTGGCTTTGGGACCCACACCAGCCTGGCCTGCATGTCTCAACCCTGGGGCTTGAGTGGCTGCTGAGTCCACAGAAGGAGAAGGGGACACTGGGAGTCAGCTGAGACAAACCAGGGTGGCCGTGGACAAGCTGCGAGCGTTGGGCCACCCCTCTTGTTCTTCATAACCCATGACTCTTGCCGGAGCGAGCGCCACGAGGGAGCCCTCCTCACGGGAGCCCGTCTGCACTTAATTCTTTCTGCTGCTCCTCAGTGAGGGGACGCGTGTCGTGGGAGAGACGAGGAAACGGGTGTGCGAGCGAGGGGGCTGGGCAGTGAGTGGGTAAAGCCACGTTTACGGAAGCAGTGCAGACGACAACACAGGGCTCGCGTGAATCGTGGCCGGCCCACCAGGTGGGGTCAGCTGCCCGCAGGGTGGTGGCGGGACAGAATGGGGTGGCGGCGACAAGCCTGTGAGAGCGCCCACACACAGCAGGGCCTCGGAAAGTGCCAGCTCCCCCTCATCCCCTTCCTTTCCAGCAAAGCTCTCTGCGCTGCCGTGAACCCCACTGTGGGCCCCTCAGCCCTGCCCTGGTCCTTGAAGCCCACTCCTAGCCAGGAATCCGTGGGGAAGCAACAGGGCCTGCTAAAGACGAAGCGAGGATGGAGGGCGAGGAAGTGGGGCCGACGCAGGGATGGACCTGTACACGCGCGACGGCCTGGGTGAGCCCTGAAGTGAGATGAGCCAGACACGAAAAGGCACACGCGGTGTGACCCCACTCACACGAGGTCCCTAGGGAAGTCGAGTTCACAGAGACAGGAAGGAGATGGTGGGTGAGGGGCTGGGGGAGGAGAGTCGCTGTTTAATGGGGACAGAGTCTCGGTGTGGGAAGACGAGCAAGTCCTGGAGACGATGGTGGGGATGGTTGCACAACAGTGTGAATGTACTTAGTGCCACTGAACTGGACACTTAAAGGTGGTTAAAATGGTAAATTCTATGTCATGTATATTTTACCATAATAAAAAAAAAAAGAATAAAAAGCAGTCAACAGGGGCAAAGAGGAGATCTCACTCAATCTGACTCTCTATCCCAAACTTGAAGACTGGATCAGTATACCCCCCTTCCCAGCCTCTGTTTCTAGAAGTTTCTTTCCTGTCTTCCTGGTGGTGCTGGCATGTTGAGAAGCAGTGTTATGAGCGGGGGAATTCCAGAAATTAGCGCCATTACTCCTAGCTGGTTTTCACTGGGTCCACTGCGTGGCCCACTGGCCCAGCCCGACCTGCTCCGGTCACAGTGGCTTCCCGCTGCAGGCGGTGTGCACTTACGTGTTAATTCGTACGTCGTTAGAGCAGAGCTGCTGTTCACGGTCTTGAAGCTGCTCTGGGCTGTTAGGGGAAGTAGAGCAGAACAGCGGTTAGCACGCAGGGAGCTGTGGCTGCAACGACGCACGTGCGGCAGGGACGGAGCCGGTGCCGGGCTCGAACCAGCTCCCACAGGGCCGCAGCCAAGGCCAGGAGGGCCCTGCTGCTGCCACCGCACGTCCTGTCAGCTCCCTGGGGGTGACCGCACTTCTTCATAGAACAGCCAGGCTCCCGCCGGAGATGGTGGGCCACATGCTCACCCCTCTGCCTAAAAGGACCAAATTCGTGTCTGGCACGACGTAGCACAAAGTGACGCTAGAGGAGACAGGAGATTGGCTTCTACCCAGGCAGCAATTCTCCAGATACCCCGTGGCAGGTTCGGGCCAGCTTGCCTGCGCTCAGGTAAGAGGCTGGCTCTGAAGGGAACGCACCAACCACAAGCGGAGAGCATGGTGTCCAGGTGTGCTCACCCCACTGCACCCTGGGTCCTGTAATTTCATTGTTTTGATTTTGCTACAAGGTCCTGGGAGATGCTGGGTGTCGTCTGGCCGTCAGCAAGGACCCCTGGCGTTGTGCTGAGGGCTTGAAGACAAACGAGCCCTTTCCTTCCACAACCTCCCTCCAGGTATAGGGCCAGGGTCAAGCTGCAGCCCCGAGCCCCCAAAGGGAGGGACCCCCGCGGCGTGGCCGGGTACATCAAAGGCCCTGCCATTGCGTGCCTGCCGAGCGCCCCAGGCAGAGCCTTGTACCGTGATGGGAGCTGGCACAGCAAGGATCTCTGCAGCCACTCTCTCACTGTCCCTGTACGTGGATGTCAAGGGTCAAAAGTATTTTCTGTGATACCATTTGGGGGACACCAGGAACGGAGACTGCTCTAACCTCCTTCCCAGAGAGGGGTAGGCGGGAGAGCCGCAGCCCCCCCAGAAGTCCAGGAGGTGCCTCGGTGGCGTCAGACCCAGGGCTAGGGCCCCTGGAGGAGTGTGGCCTGACCAGGCGGGTCAGCCCAGGGAGGAGAGATGCCACCTGATCCACAGGGCCGAGTGTTGTGACGATGGCGGAGCCTGCCCGTGACCTGTCCAGGTCAGTGCCACAGGTCCCCACCGGTTCCCAGCCTCCGTCTCATGTCGACATGCTCCACTCAGGGTGGTGGCACTGCTGTCCCTTCCCAGCCGCACCCCGCCGGCCTCACGCTCTCGCCCTGCTCCTGACCGACCACCCCCGTTGTCCCCGAGCCCCTCGCCTCTTCCTTCCTCCCCACCATTACTTTTGTGGGGCTCCTGTCAGTCACACCTCTCCTTTCAGTCCTCCTCTGTGAGACCCTTTCACTGCGACAACCCACCTCAAAGGGCCCCTCCTCCATGAAGCCGCCTGACTGCGGCTGTGGAGGCCCCTCCGCGGCGTGTCCTGGCACGCCTCACGGGAGCACATGCTCACGGTTACCTTGGGGCCACCCTGATGGCCGGCGGCTGGAGCGGTGGTGCCTGTGCTGGGAGGAGGGCGGGCGGCTCACCTGCGAGCTCGGTCCGTAAGGCCAAGGGGGTTTTGAGCGTCTTGGACTCGGTGGCTGAGGCCGCCTCGTACTCCAGCTCCCGGTAGTAGATCCTGTAGCCCTGGAGGAGGCCGTTCAGGCTTTCGTCCCGCGGAGGCTGCAAGGACATCACCAGTCAGCCCTCGGAAGGTGACTTCTGTCAAGTTTAAGTAGCCAGCTGCCCAGGGGAAGGCAGTCATTTACACAGATGGTTCTCAGTTATTTACAAGGTAAAAGGCAGGTGTCAGGCCATGAAGAGGACCACCTGGACTCCTAGGTGCAGAGCCAGACCCAGGTTCTCTGTATCCTAAGTGAGGTCATGGGCGTCTCATCCCACGTCCAGTTGAGTACTCGCCTGAGCCCAGGGCTGGGGCAGGGGGCAGTGGCCCAGGTCACAGGGTGAGGAAGCTGCCTGCTCCCAGTCAACCCAGACCTGTAGGGGAGCCATGGACGTGGCCTGGCCCCACACTGTCCCTTCAGTCCCCCCAGGCTTGTGGCAGCCTCAGACCTCTCTGTATGCCAAGGTCTCCCTCACTGTCCCCCGACTCACACCTAAGACTGAAATCCCCATGGATTGCTGAGACAATGAAAAGATCCAAGTTTTTTTGTAAGACAAGGGACATGGGACACGGACACAGGGAGACTGTCATGTGAGGGCAGAGGTGGGAGAGATGCACCTAGGAGTCGGAGGCACCAGCAGCTGGGCGAGGCGAGGGGGTTCCTTTCCTGGAGATTTCAGGCTCAGCCCACACCTGGATGGTGGACGTCGGGCCTCGGAACTGTGAGGGAACACCTTCCTGTCATTCTAAGCCCCCTTCACCCAGCGTGGCAGCCCCAGGACACACATGCCCTTGCAGCCCAAACACACTATTCAATTCTTACGACCTAAGCCCATGGACCAAAACACTTGGCCATCTGTCCAGATGAATCGTTCTCTGAGAAGTTTTGCTACTCACTCACAGTGCCTGACTGGGCAATGCCGTGTCCTTTGCTCTTCACACTGTCCCCAAGGCAGCCCAGACAGCAAGGCACACTCGCACTGACGCGGGGGGTGACGCGGCACGCTCATGTGTGCACAGAGGGGCACGCGTGCGTGATCTATTCAGGGCTTTCTCAGAAACGAGCACTGCTACCCGTGAACTCAGCCGGGGTGTTGAATGCACGGTGGCTGGTGTCCTCCCAAGATGCTTCCTGGGTCCTTTCTGATGCCCCCAAATCATGCAAAGAGCGACCGTGTGGCATTTCCCCCCTCAGATGCCAGTGTAATGGGGAAACTCAAGTGGAATTTCCATGTGTGTCCCTCTCATTACAGGGCCCAGCACATCCGCCCCAGGGGACACATTAGACCCCAGTGTGTGACTGTCCCCCTCGGTGAGTGTCGACATCCAGCCCCTCATCAGCGTGCTCAAAGGTCCATGGGTCACCTGCCTGTTCGCTGCTATCCACGTGGGCCATGCCAGGGAACGGGCCATGCCGGGGAACTGGCCCTGCCGGGCATTAAGACACTGGCTCCGAGTCCCCGTGCTGGATGGTGGGACAGCTGTGTCTCAGGGGCGAGGCCCGTGATCTGGGAGGGGCTGTCTCGGGGCTGTTAGCCCTCACCAACAGCAGAGCAGATCTCAGTCTGCCCCCAGCCCCTCCTGTTCTGGCTCCGGCCACCTTCGCAGGGCCCCGGGGCTCCCTCCGGGCACCGAGGGCACGCAGGCCGAAAGCGTCGAGGCCAGGGACTTGGGTGCCAGGTCAGTCTCTTGGTTATGTTTTCTCCCTCACGGGGTTGCCAGCTTTAGCCAACAGAAGTATAGGGCGCCCTGTCACATGGGAATCTCGCAGTCACTTGATCTGAAATTCACACCGACCTGGGCAGGGTGCTTTGTCTGCAGCTCCCTCTGCCTTCCATCACAGACCAGGCCTTCCCGGGGGGCCGCGTGGGTGGGACAGGCCATCAGCAGAGTGCACGGCCCAGGACACAGAGCGGGGCTGCACCCACCTGTCCAGGGCCTGGGACACACAGTGGGGCTGCACCCACCTGTCCAGGGCCCGGGACACACAGTGGGGCTGCACCCACCTGTCCAGGGCCCATCCCTGAACCATGGCTGGGACCACTTTCTCCAGCACAGAGCCCTCTGCCCTGTCACTCAACAGATTCCCGGGGCCTCTCACACTTACCAGAGAAACAGAATGGAACCCACATGGGACCAGGAGCCAGGAGCTCAGGAAGCCGAGGGCGTCAGAAAAGGGAGAGGGCTGGGGCAACACCCGAGGTTTGACTGGGGTGCAGGAGAGAGGCCGCGTATTTTTGTTGTGGATTTTAGTTTACACAATTTTGTCCTTTTTCTGTCAGTTTTGATGGACAAAGCCTTAGTGTTCGAGGTGCCTGGAGGGTCCCCATGAGGGATCATCAGCCAGAGTGCCGGGCTGCCCCTCTGCTCCCCGTCCAGCCCCTGTGCTAGGACTGCAGACCTTCCTAAGGATGGGGCATGGCCGACACGTCTGTTTGCAGGTTCCTCCCTTTAGAGTTCACAGAGCTGTTCTCAGAGCAGCTTTCAGGTTCCCTCCCTGTAAGAATGGCATCGTGTGGCAAAGGCAGATGGCAGCCAATGCTCCTGGTAGCTGGTGCCAGTGTCGGTGCCAGGGCCTCACGGTGGACACGAGACTGAGACGGAAACCGTGTGTGCATGTGCACGTGTTTGTGTACATAGTGTGTGTAACAGTGCACACACACAGCGTGTACGTCTGTCCCTAAGGGAAGACGGTCCTGCTGGTCAGTTCCACTTCCTCCCTAGTCCTGGTTTGCTCCTGGGCCACAGCTGAGACTCAATTTAAATCCTTATTCTGTAGGGCATTCTCCAAACACCTGCCACAACATTGTGACAGAAAGATTACTGAATGTCCTTCTTAAAAAAATGCAAGATGGAAAAGCTGGTGAAGAAGAATAAAAAAGAGACATTTCTCTGCATTGTCATCCAGTTTCACAGAAAAGGCACGGCGAGTGCCCCTCCTGCACTGAGGGCAGAGTGAAATGTTCCCCAGGGCCCTTTGGCCACCTGAGTCAGCCCGAGAGCCCGGGGCCCCTGTCCCTCCCTCAGGACTGCAGGTTGCTGCACAGATGTGGGCCCTGAGGGAGGGAAGGAGGAGAGACCCAGGCCCCCAGGTGCCCCTGCCGCAAAGGAGGCAGGGCCCAGGGTCACTTGGGAGCTCAGATGGGCGCCCCCATGGGTGCAGACCTGCTGAGCCCTGCACCTGCCCTGGCTCTGCCTTCCGGCACGTTCCCCGCGTCCGTGCTTCCTGGGCCTGGAAGGTGGAGGGCTGGGGGCCAGGCTCACTGATAGCTGCACCAGAAACCCCCTTGTACCACCCCAGCAGGGGCCACCCAGGCCTGGGGAGGACACAGCGGGCCGCACGGCCCAGGGGGCAGCCTTTCTACAGCCTGCGGCTGGTCCAGGGCTCACAAAGGTCAGGCTGACCCCACGGGGATTCCCGGGGCCCGCATGGGATTGTGAAGAAGGTTTAACCACATTTTCTGTTCCTAGAGTTTGGAATAAACCTGTATGTCATTTATGAAAGAGGCCTCTATGACTGTGGATATCCTGGGAGCATACGGGCAGCTCCATGTGACACATGGAGAGTTCTAGAAGCGATGGGCTGAGCACAGGCTCTGGTTGGCTGCGCAACCTCCCAGGCTCAACCGGTATCCATATCAGGCGGAAGGCTGGCTGGCAGGTCTCTGGAGTGTTCATGACTCTAAAACAGAAGGCTCCCTCTGCACACGCAGCCCTCAGCCCCAGCCACACCTGAAGTTTCTGACTCTATACTCCCTGGAGAGTGTCACTCGTTTCTGTCACTTCACAGCACCTGTGACAGGCTGTGGACACAGCAGGTGCTCAATCAATGCGTCTGGGAGGGAGCGGGAGTTGCTGAGGTCCAAGGTGACCCCATCTACGGCTAATTCCATCCTGGACTAGCCATCTGCATGGGCAGATGCTTGATGGGAACTGGGAGCCCTTCCTAAAAGCGTCTGCCCTCTGCCTACTGCACTTCAGGAATCCTTCTAGCAGACTCTCTGGGGTCTGCAAAGCCTCTGTGAAAATGCAACGACCGGGCAGAAGTGCCTGTGGGCTATCACCCAGCACAGCAGCAGGGAGAGGGCAGTGAGCGGGGAACAACCCCGGGAGGATGCCGGCCGGCGTCCTGGAGGCAACAGGGTTGGGTGGCAGAATGGGCACAGGGCTGGAGGAGGCGGGGCTCCCAGGAAGAGCCTCATTTCTTCCCGCCGTCCGCACAGGGGCAGGCTGGGATCTGTGCAGTGGTCTCCTCTCCCCTCTACAGGTGGGGGGCTGGGGCTTAGGGAGGTTCAACACTGCATCCAGGGGCTTGTGGCGAGTAGAGGCAGAGCTGGAACTCAACTGCAAACCTATTCCCATGACTTCCATTTCCGGGAGCATAGAACAGGATGCCCTGATGCCTTCGGGGCTAGCTCCCCATGGGGTCAGGGAGCACAGGAGGCCCCAGGGAAGCTGGCTCCACGCACCTCCCTCAAAGCGCAGCAGCGAATCCCAGGGCGTCACACTGCCGAGCCTTAGCTGGCTGTGCATGACGCCCGGCTCCCCTCTCTGCCTGTTGCCCAGGGAAGGTCTGTTCATCCTGCAAACACGTGCACCCCCACCTCCCTTGCCCAGGGCCAGTTGCTCCCCCTTTGCTCTCTTCCGCTCGCTCCTGCCTCATAGAGCTCAGCACACTAGGTGGCATCTGTCTCGTCCACTTCTGTGTGCCCAGCACCCTACACTGGGGCTGGTCCTCTGCAGATGACGGTGCAAATGGCAAGAAAAGGGACAAACCCCACCATGTCCTGAAGACGCCCTGCTGCCTCATTGCCCAGTCCAGGCAGCTGTGGCACATCTCTTAGGAAGGCGCCTATTGCAACATGACGTCCATCCTCTGCTGAGTCCATCGGGCATGATGTGACCTATTGCCTAGGATGCCTTCTTTGCTGGGAAAAACCTCAAAATCCACTTGGAGAAATCTGCAGCCACATAAGAGGAACTGTATTTGAGTGACAGGCTGCATGACCCATTGGAAGTTTCAGAACAGCCAGATCAAATGCTGTGATCAGACATTAATGCCTGTTATGAGCTGCACTCAGCGTGCACACAGCATCCCCACTGTCTAGGAGACACGTGCAAATCTCTAGATTTCAAATAGCTCTGGACCCCATGAAAGGAGATGCTCCTCCTACAAGAATCAAACCTGAATGGACGCAATAGAGGAGCCATTTAAATGGGTTGGCAGCCTTGAAATTACAGGCGGTATTTGCATTTTTAAACAAATTATTGAAAAAAAAGGTTTATAGGTGAAACATTTCACTTGGAACGCAAATCTGCATTTAAACATAGTTTCTTTGTCCTGTTTGCTCTGGTTTAGTGAATTACTCATAGTTTTAATTATACTCATACATCAATTGCCTGGCAGTTGACAGGCATTTATTTCTATGAGACATTGTATTGACCACCTCTTGCTCTGAGTTTCCTGTGATGAGTTGGTTCTATTGGGCTTGGAAGGGGATAGCTGATGGTCACTTATGCCATGTTCTGTTGGTGCAGACACCCACCACCCACGGAGCTATCCAACTACAACTGAGGGGCTTGGAGCCCTGAGTGCTCAGGAGGCAGGATGGTGGGGCTGATGGCCGGAGCCATGTTCACAGCCTCTTGTGTGGAGGCGATGACATGTCACAGCCCTGGGCGCAGCCTTTATAGTAAAGGAGCTTACCTAGTTACTGACAAGCCATGTGCCACGTCTAAAAAGAAAACACTAACATTCTGGTAGAATTTAGCACAGTACAAAGGGCCAACCTTCTTTTGGTTGATTATAGTAGTGGAAGGTGGGAAACAGAAGCACTTGGGACCCTGAATTTCTATTTTGAATGTTTCCCCCTTTCACCACAGACCCTGATGGAAATAGGGGTGGAGGCCTCAAGGCCTTGGATCAGAGACCTTGCAGACACCTCAGAGGTCACCTCTTACCTCCTAGTTTTGTAGAGGAGGAACTGGGGCCAGATTCTCAAGGTCACAGTTGTCTAAGGGCAAACCGGGGCCTGCAGACCTAAGTCAGGCCCTTTGTCACTTTTCTGGGGCTCTAGGAGGGAGGGACAGCTCAGGGGACCTGGCTTCCCAGAGGCAGGGGTGGGAGCCCGACTGATGCTTTTCTGGTCCCCATCCAAGTCCCCAACACTATGGTGAAGCTAGAAATTACAGAATGTCACAGCGGAGAATTCCCAGTTTCACTGGAAGACACTTGGAAATGTCTTGTCATCACATTTAAAGGTTACTATCACCTCTGAGAAGCTGTCACTTAGCAATGGAGAAGACATGGCGTAATGGCCACAATTACTCCATGAATCCTTGAAGGAGATCACATACTCTCGGCAGAAACCCAGGTGATTGAAACCCTGCTCTCCGTCCTGTGTAAGCAGCAGTGTCAGTTACGTTAGGTTGAACTATATGAAATCACCTCACATGGTGATTTCTGTGCCTCACATGGTGAAATTTCATATGATTCAACCTAATACTGAGGCCACCGAGTTGTGACACAACTGGAGGAAGCAGAACCTTGTGGTAGTTCGTCACCAACCTTACAATGTAGGAAGCATTCTCACATCGGCTCTTCCAATGCACCCACTCTGGTCTCCCACCTCCGACTTCCCTCCCAGGACCCCCGGCTCCTGTCGGCTTCAAGCTGCTCCCAGGCAGGTGTCTACATGATCCCGAGAAGGCTGTTCCCCAGGAAGGCTTCAGCAGCTGGGGAGCGCCCCCAGCTCGGCAGTGCTCGCCCCATCTCCCTCTTCAGCTCCAGCCCAGAGGGGTCTCCAGCGTGCCGACCTCCTGCCTGTGGAGCTGCTCACTGCCACACCCAGCAGCGTCCCATTCAGGACAAGTTCCCTGAGGGCCTCCTCTGGGTTTCCTGGCACCCCTGTCCCACAGCCCCCCCCCTCTCGTGCCAGCCTAGTGCACCTGGGCAAGACACAGCCTTCCACGCTCTCCTTGGCCAAGTCCACACCACGGCCCTGCTCTCGGCTTCCAGCGTCACCGGGGTCCCTTCGTGTCTCCCCTCCTGCTGAGTCTGAATGCGGTGCTGGCATTCTCCGAGAGGTCTCATCAACCTCCAGGAAGAATCTCAAGCCACACAGACCACCCTCTCCACCCCCAGCTCACAGTGGCCACTCCTAGGCAGCCATCATCTCACCGAGGCTCTGAACACAGGCCACAGCGCCTGCCCTCTGCCTCCCGTGCCCACGGCCCCTGGCTGCAGGCACTCCCCATCCCCAGGATGGCAGTCGCCATTCTGGCCTTAGGAGCTTCCCTTGGCTGGAAGCTTCTCCATGCTCTCGTCACTGACCTTGGCCCGTGCCCATCGGTCTGTTGCACCCGTCCAGGCCAGCGGCAGCCCTGCTCCTGAACTGAGACCCCTGGCTGAGCCCTGGCCCCCAGACCCCACCGGCACCCCCAGCTGGGTGGTTCTGGGGCTGGGCAGTCTTCCTTGGCAGTTCTGCCCTTTGTTATTTTTGTCCTCAATACATCTCATTTTTAGCAAAAAGAACTGAAATTGGAAATAAGGCTGAGAGGGCAGCGTGTCCTCTCAGTGTCAGAGCAGAGTGTTGTTTGAGCCCACCAGGAGAATGTGCCTCGGTGTGACTGGGTGTGCTCCGGGCCCTGCCACCTTCACCCAGGGCCTGGGGCGTTCAGTCCCCCTGACACTCTGCACCCGCCTTGCCACCCTGCTCGCCTCCGTACTGAGCTGAGTTCAAGTTCACTCTGTGTGCGCTCAACGGTCATGTTTTTACTGTTTTGGAAATTATACCGGGACACCATTTTCCCTCCCAGTTTGCAAACCAACCGCTGTCCTGCTCTCCAACACCCGACACGGCCTGGCCTGCAGTCAGGTTCTGGCCGCCACGATGCTGAGAGTGCAGATGGTGAGCACACGGCATCTGACGGATGAAACCGCGTGAGACCTTACCTGCCACTGGATCAGAACAGAGGAGGTGGTGTGCGGTGTCACCGAGACAAAACTTGGAGGCTCTCCTGGAACTGAAAACAAGAAAGAAGAAATGAGGATGAGAGGGCTCTGTTGGTAATTGCGGCCATTCTGGGGCCAGCCCCCCAGGGCGTGGGGAGCTGACCAGCCTCCCCCCCTCTCCTGACTGTGGATGTCCTTCTCCCACCTACACAGCCTGAGCCAGCAGGGAAGAGACCTGAGCCTAGCAGTGTGGCCACATCCCCCAGGAGCGGACCCACACTGAGGCACAAGAAGGAGTGCCCATCTCTCCACTGAGGGCCACGTACACCAGTGGAGGTGCCAGGAGCCCCTGCCCGGAGAGGCTTCTGAAGGTCAGGTCCCTAGATTTTTTTTCAGAGGCCCATGCCCCATCCCTTGATGAAGGCCTCATTTGTTGTTTGTTTTTGAGATTCTTAGGTCAGAGTGACTCCTGAACTGGACAAATGATCAAGCCAGGTCACAATGCTCTTGGTTTTTAAACATGGCTGTGATTGTCATGGAAGGAGGCTGACTTCTGCCGCTGAAGGTCTGCCATGTTCCGGGTACTGGTGGTGGTTCTCTCTGCTCTGCTCTCGGAAGGGACAAGGTCGGTTTGACGTCTGCCTGTGGCCGTGCCCTGCACTCTGGGAACAAAAATCTTCCCCATGTGCGTCAGGTCCAGCAGCAGGCCTCCCTGCCACCCCTTCCCTATGAGCCCCACGTCCTAGCATTCTGAATCAACCTTTCTATGGCCCCCCCACTGTAAGATCCTGAGACCCAACACATACTAACTGTTCAAAAAGCATCGCTGATGGAACGGTTCCGGCTGCTCGCCCTGTCCTGCCCCACCTGTGTGCCTGGCACGCCCACTCCACTCACCACCCAGGACTGGGGCCCTGGGTCACCTGCTCCGTAAGTCTCCTCTGGACATGCCAGGTCCCCTCCCACCACCTGGGACATGCCTGTGTCACCCCCCTCTTGAGGGACAGCTCTCTAGTCCAGGCCCGGGCCTCCTGCTGGTCTCAAGTCAGCGGTGGACCCTTATCCAGCTTTCCTGATCACCTTGATTGTGATTACAGGGGCGTCTTGGTATCGTAAGCATCGTAATAAGAAAATGTTTTTTTTAGCAAATGAGAGGAGGCAGAGTTTGCCATCCCAAAATATGCTTTTTGGGGATAGTGATTATTTTAAGTTGGTGATTTTTCAAGAAATGTAAACTCAAAAAGAGCCTTTTAGGGCCGGCCGAGTGGCTCAGTTGGTTAAGAGCTCGCTCAAGTGTTTGAGCTCTGAGCAACAGCGATTCGAGTCCTGGCCCGAGCTGAGCAGCCGCTAAGCTGCCAACAGGTGGCAGGATGGCTCAGCTAAAAAAACCAAACAAACAGCAACAACAAAAAACAAACATAAAAAGAGCCTTTTACAGCCCCCAGCAACCTACCTAAAGGAATTCAGATAGAAAGCCCTGCTCAGAGGAAGAGCAATCCCGTTAGCTTGGTGTGCGCTGAGTGCGGCAGACACAGGGGAACCTGCACAGCCTGTACATAGGCTCCCCTCTGGGTCCCACTGTGTCTGGGGGGCCTGGCAGGACCCTGTTCACCACGTTTGCTCCTTCTCATCTCCCTGCGGGTCGCCTACGTTCCCTTGGAACCCCAGGCCCCTGCCCCCCTTTCCTTAATCCAGAGCAGCATATAAGCCTCAACTGTCTGACTTGTGCTCAGGGCCCCCGTATGTACATATGGAATAAAGTTGGTCATTTTCTCCTGTTAATCTGTCTCATGTCGATTTGATTATTAGACCAGCCAGAAGAACCTAGAAGGATGGAAGGAAAATTATTTTTCCTCCACCACACACTGAGAGGTCCCCCTCCTCTCAACACCCGTCAGTCCCTGCCTGTCAGTCTCAGCTGATCCTGGGCTGAGAGACAATGCAATGCAAATACAATGCAAATCAACTGCAAAGAGCAATTGCGAATCTCAGAAAAGGGAGATAACAAGATAGGTGCATCAAAAGGAGTGATTTCAATATCAAAGGATTAAGAAAGGCCTTTGGGGAGCCTGGAGGGGCCCTGTCCTGGTTTTTCAGAAAGGCCCATTCTGATGGGCTGTGTGAGGGCTGGTGGTCCTCTCTCACAATTTCCTCAGAGACGGGCCAGCAAGGCACCAGGCCGCATGTTTCCTTCTTCTAAGACCTGGTGCTTCATCACAAACATCCCTGCAGTTATGCTTGATGCAAGATCAAAATAGGAGTCGCAAAAGACAACCCTCATTTCTCAAGGGGCAGTCCCACTTTTCCTCCCGGCCCATCCAGGCTGCGGGCTCCCTGAGAGCACAGCCAGGGCATCCTGGGATCAGGAACGCACAGCCCTGGGGGTTCTGCTGGGCAGCGAGATCACCTCTGTGTGCTGCTGAGACACTCCAAGGGCCCCTGGAGCCTGTGCTGGTCCTCAAGGTCACTCGAGGCCTCTTGCAGGAGAAGCTAAACTCCCAGGTCATAAAAAGTGGGGAACTGAAGGTGTGAGGTCCTGGGTGTGTCTGGAGTTGGGTCTGGAGCTTGGGGTGGGCTGGGGAATGATTATAAAGCACTGCTGTTGACTTCAGCGCTCGGGTCTGCAGTTGGGCCTGAGATCTGCAGCATTGCTTCTCGCCCTAAAGTCTGCCTGGCAGCGCAGGGCGTGTGCCGTCTCCCGGCTCATTCCGGGCCCGGCAGCGTCATCACGCAGAAGCACAACGGACCTTTAGGCCCAGCTCCTGTGAGTGGGACAGAGTGGGTGAAAGCCACCCAAGCTTTTAGGTATTCTCACTTCCATCGCTTAGCTGTGCTTCTGTCAAATGGCCAATCTGGGAACGGAGAATGAGAAAAATGGGGAAACCTCTTAAAGCCCAGCTACCCTGTGACATTTATTTTTAATGTCCCTATAAATTAGTCAATTTCTGGGGTGCTAATGGGTCCTAGGGGCTTGGCAGCCCATCACAGAAACCTCCTTCCATTTGGGAGACCTTCAAGCCTTGCTCCAGGGCCACAGGCTGCACAGAGCTCTCTGTGCCTGCTGTCACTAACTGGATCCACTGCTCCCCTCGCGTCCCTGGGTGGCCCCTTCCTGGCTCAGGATAAATGTGGGGCCTCTCTCTAGGAGCCAATGATTCGGGGTTCAAAGGCAGCAGCTGGGAAGTGGCCATGTCTGTCTGCTGGCCTGGGTCCCCACTCACTCACCATCCTGCAGGGTGGTTACTGCCTCCGTCTCCGTGCTGAAGTCGCTGTCCCCAATGTCATTGGTGGCTTTCAGGCGCAGCTTGTAGGAGGTGAAGGGCCTCAGCCTGAATGAAACACAGATGGGGCCAGTGACCACCAGGAGACTGTCCCCGCCCCCCGCCCGCCCCTGGGAGCCCCTCGGGGCTTCTTCCCTGTTCGTGAGCCCTGACCTTCCTCAGTGAGGAGGACGCTTGGGGTTGGGGTTGAATCAGCCCTGGCAGCGGTGAGTCCAGGCTCTAGCAGCCCCCAGAACTGTCCAGGAGAAGACCCCAAACACCCAGCACTGACTTACTGGCCTGCCCGGGGACAGAGGGACTTCTGAGAGCGGAGGGGAGAGCAGGGCTTCCCGGCCAGGGGATGAGGTTTTGCTTAGGGCTCCTGGAACTGGAGACCCCCCTGTGCAGCAAAGCCTGCTCTCCGAGGAGCTGAGGGTTTTCAGGAGCAGACGACGTCATCCCTGGCACTGCCGGAGTGTACATGAGTGCCGGCCTCACCCACTACCTCTCTCAGCACTAAGTGCTCCTTTGTGGAGGTCAGGGCTGGTCAGGCCCAGCCTGGTGCCCCGCCCCAGTGACAGGCAGCACCCACCCACCCCTCATCCCTACCATCTACTGCCCAGACATGGTGCCAAGCACTTGACAAGCATTATCGCATTAACCCACACAGCAGCCCTGTGGGGCAACGTCATTACGATTCCCATCTCATGGACGAGGAAACAGAGGCCCAGTTAAGTCCCCTGCCTACTGCCACTGGACTGGTAAGTGGCTTGGCCAGGACTTGACGCTCCCCCGAGGCACTGCGTGGTGCCACCACTCCAGCCTTCCTTCCTCCCAACTATAGGGTCACTGTCTGTATTTATTGGGTCTCACGTGCTGTCTCACACCTGAGGCTAAGACTTCAGACAAACTCTTCTGTGCAGACGCTGCTCAAGCCTTCACCCAGCTGCCTGCACTGCCCTTGCAACGCACACCCCCGTTCAGTGCCTGGAGGGCCAGCTTCTTGTGGCCGTCCCTCACCTTATTGCCAAACGAGCAGGTAAGGAACCTGCATCCTCCCTGTCCCCTCCCAGTGGCCGCTGTCTCAGCCAGTGGCTCTGCCATCCTCTCCATGTCCCAGGTCAGAAGAGCTGGAGTGATTCCAGACTCCACCTCCCCCGCCCATCAAGTCCCAACTGTCTCTACGTTTCCTCAATACCAGTCTAAGCAATGCCCTCATCACCTCAAAGCCAACCCTCTCTCCTCACGCCACCTGTGAACTGGTGGTTTTCAAACTGAGTGGAACCCCTGAGGCTGAGGAACCGTCTGGGAGAACAGGCCCCTCCTCCCACCCCAACAACTAATAGCAGCTCCACTGCCACCTGGTCTGTAAGTTGCTTCCCGGTAATTCTGAGAAAGGACGCAGAGAAAGGACTTTGCTTTTTGAAAAGTGAAAACCACTTTGGACGCGATGGTCAGGAACAGTTCCCTGTGTCCCTGTTTCCACTGCCTCCCACTTACTACCACACTGAGTGAGTCAGCTCACACCCGAGGGGCGCTCCTTCCCCCACGCCCCCCAGACCTGCTCTGCCACCTGCTAGTCTGTGACAGCAGCGAGCGTCCTCCCCTCCCTGCGCCCTGAAGCCACAGCTGGAAGAAGCAGTGATGGGGCGCCCTGACCCTGGCCCGGCTTTCCTGGAGATGCTTCTGGGGTTCAGCTCCGAGGAATGATCTCTGCTACAGGCTCCTGCGAGTGTCCTTTATTAAGTTAAAGCAAACAGCTTCCCATCCGTTCCTAACTCCCCAGAAGTTGCTTTCTCTAACTTTGGTGATGACCGCGGGCCCTTTCTGCTTGAGCTGCCGCCTTGCCCCACATCTGTGTGGCCAGCTCCTCTTCGCCTTGCGCTGGATGGCAGAGCAGGAGGTTTTCAGGACGCTGAGCCTGGGCAGGGCACGTCCCCTCAGTGTCCTTGTCGGGGCTGATGACAGCACCTGCATGGTGAGGTTGTCGCTCGTATGAAATGCTGAAGCGCTCAGAAGAGGACCTGGCACAGGTGAGCGCTCCTGGGACAGTCACAGGCTCTGCCACTATTGTCCCTAAGTGGCTGAGCTAGGTGCCTGTCCCTGCCAGCTGTCCCTACTCCCCGCTCACTTCCTCTTCTCCGTCAGCACAACCATCATTAACTATGTTTCCTTGTCGACCGTCTATCTTCTTTACAAGACTTGGGACTCCAGGAGCCCAGTGACCAAGAAGCCTCTGTCACAGCCACACCCCCAGCACTGAGAACAGGGACCGACGCCCAGGAGGTGCCCACGAGGACCTGCCGAAGGGGGGTGTAAATGGGGATGGCGTGACCTCGCTCCAAAGTCCCCTGGGAGTTGTGTAGGAGACGTGAAAATCAGCAGAGCATCTGGCACGTGGCAGGTGCCCCTGAGATGACCCTCATTGGCGTCTGTAGCACTTGTTTATTTACGTTATTATTTAGAAGGTGTTTGGTACATATGCTTTATCATGTGCTATTTAGCACTTTGCTGCTCCGTGACAATCTCGGGTTTGAGGCCCAATGTCAAGCTCTCCTGTTCCCACTCACCACAGGGGACAAAGGATGCCTGTCAGGTGGCTGGATGGGTTGGCCCAGGGCTGAGGTAAGTGGGTCTAGGCACAGAGGGGAGCCGGGGGGCACAGCTCCTAGCAGCACCCTGGCTTTCCCAGGCTCACAGCACTCCCGGGGCTGGTGAGCTGTCGGTGGGAGTCACAGGGAAACGTGGGTGTCTGCGCTGCAGGAGCTGACCCTCTCATCGGGAGGGAACAGGTGAGGAGCTACCCCGAGGCGGGGAGAGGTGGTGCCAGTTACCGTGTTGGCTCTCCCGGTCTCCAGCTCAGCCGTCTCCCCGCATGCTCCTCACCCGTGTGGCTGCTCCTCTGGACACTGGTCCACTTCCAGCCCCGAAAGACACCCCATGTCCCCTGCACACCTGCCCCATCACTCCCCCTGTGGCAGCGGGAGCAGGACTTCAGTGACTACTTGACAAACGAACAAAGGAACAGATCACCCTGGAACAGTCTCTTGGACCCCACTAATATCCCCAAATTCTGCTCCCTGCTCGCTCTCCAGGCCAGCTCAAGTCTCCAGTTTGGAGTCAGATGAGCCTGAATTCAAATTGTGGCCCCGCCACTCCTGACCTGGGCAAGTCCCTTCCCTTCCCTGAGTCTTTCTCTGCTCACCTGGAAAAAATGGGGACGATTCCTGTACTTCCAGGGCTGTTGAGAAAGTTAAATTATATAACCCACCCTCAGGGATCTGACACACCTGGGCACACAGTAGGCAATTAATGAATGTTATGTTCTCTTTCTTGTCTCCCAAAGGCTATCCCGACAGCCACGGTGACCTTGCTGTCACAGGCAGTCTACTCATGCTGTGCGGTGTCCCCCAGCCCTTGTCACAGCCAGTTTCCCTGCCTGCCGACTTTCTGCCATCCCAGCTCAGAGGCTGGCTAGACTCAGGACATTTGTTGAGATAACACGGTTATCTAAACTCTAACCAACCCAAGTTCAGGAAGGGAATATATTTGGATAACACGGGGCCCTCACTATCCAAGCTTGCTGTGGAATTCTGGCAGGAACCAGGTACATTTAGAAAGCAAGCTTGTGCCTGCCCTGCCCCGGAAGGCAGCCCTCTTCTCACAGCCACACATTTACTCTGACAGGCTCCTCCATAGAGCTGGACGGGGTCTTAGAAATGGAAAGAACTCCAGTATCCACTCACTTGTCTTGGTTATAATAAAATATACGAGCCCTGAACGTTTTGGAAGCTATCTACTGCTGCCTTCATGTACTTATTGTTAAGGTTCTAAAAATATGTATTAAGAACTCATTATCTGCACCACAAAGAGTATCGAACCCATGCATCATATTCTTGGCCAAATTTGCCTGATTTTAAAATTGGCATTATTTTAAACAGCTGCGACAGAAGAAGAAAGGACTGCATCCAGTGGAGGCGGGGCTGGCGGGCTGGCATGATGGGCCCGTAGCCTTTTATGCGGTGGTGCCTCTTGGCCCTTGTGGCTTTGGTCTGGGTACACAGCATCTGTCACAGTGGGAAGTTCAGAGGAACAGCAGAATCTGTTGTGACTGAGCACACAGCATCACCTGTGCTCAGGCCATCACTGTTCCAATCCACAGTGACACCCAGGAGGTCCGCGTGGCTCCGCCTACAGCCCTTCCCTTTTCAGCCATGGGCACTTCTGTGCGAAGTTGCCCAGGGTGCAACTTCAAGCATCAACCCGAGACCGACGATGCCAGCACATGTCCCTCAAACCCAACTCCTCGGTCCAGTGCTCCAGACCCAGAGTCACCAGGCGCGGGCAGTTGCTAGGTTCAGATGTTTAAATTTTATGTTTTTGGCCACTAGCAGATTTCATGCAACTGGCAAAAGTAAAAAGGAAAAAAAAAAAAAAAGGGAAAATGTAGCCATCAGGGTTATTCCACAGGAAGGGAGGTGGCACTACGGCCGTGTACAAAACATTGCTTCCCTGGGGTTCTGCCCGCAACGCGTTTTCCATTGATGGGGGGAGGGGGCATTTGTCCTGGCTCTGTCTCATCAGGAACCTGACAACGGTCCTTCCCACACCCAATTAAACTGCCCGCCCTGAAACATGGGCCTCTTTTTCCCAACATCAAGCCCTAAGCACACAGTAGGTCTGTTTGAGTTCAGGAGGCTCCACTACATAAAAGACAGTTGGATTTTAATTTTCTTCTTTCCTTCAGATGGTTACTCAGAGGGTCAAGTTATTGATATCTACGAGCACATAGTAACTGAGCTAAGCACCCCATGCAATGGAGTGTGGATTATTACGTAAGCTGGGCACACCCGGCCACACTTGCCCGACCCTTGGGGCCACTCCAGGAAAATCCTGGGGCTCGGGGTGGGGGGTCGGCGTCTGCGACTAGGAGTGCTTTCTTCTGCAGGGATGAGGGCTGTGCCTCTTGGGTCTGTGGCTGTTGTTCAAAGGGTAAGTGGCGTGCTGGCAGGAACCTGGAGATGGTCTTGTTTGGATTGCCGTTAGCTGGCTGCTAGTTCGCTGCCCAGTAACAGAGGTGAATCTTGGACTCACGGAGCTGAAAGGGACAACAGGACTGTGCCTCCAGCCCCGTCTTCATGATGAGAAAACTGAGGCTTGGTGAGCTCATAGGATGGACTTTTCCAAAGCCACATGGCCACTAAGTGGGGGACGGATTGCCGAGAGCTTGGTGTTCAGACAATAACACCGTTTCCACTACCTCATAGACCTGCCTAAATGAGCTGTGCGATGGTTTGTGTCCATGGAGCGCTAAGCTGCAGGCCCGGGGAACGTTAGAGCTACAAAGAATCTGAGGGGTTCTCTGTTCCATTTGGAGCGGCCAAGGCACAGCACATTCACTTCTCACGCCGTCTCTGCCTCAGTTTCCTCTCCTGTGGTATGGGAGTAGAGCCTGGTCTGCATCTCCATGGGGCTGTTTTGGACATCACATGGGAATTGTTTTGAAAATGCCAGAATGAGGTACGACATTGAGACGATAGTGGTGGTGATGACGGCAGTGACAACAATGACAGTGATGAAGACTCCACAGGATGCATTAGCCGTTCAGCAGCTACCTGATGAGTACACTACGGAAAACGTCTCAGGTGGGCGTCACCACGGACGCTGTCCCAGTCTCATCGCCTCCTGCGAGGAGTGTGATTACAGGGCTGTGACCGTGACGGGTTTTCTAACTTCAACCCACCAGCAGACACATCTGAACAAACGTTGTCCCCTTCAGTAGGAGGCCAGGCAACGACTCCAGGTCTGCTGGAAACGATACTAGTGCTTAGGGCCCATTCGCCCTCCATTTTCGGACAGAGCTAAGAGTGATGTGGACCACGCGACTGAAGAGGTCCCTGGGCCCAGGTCTACCCTTTGGGTCCCAGGCAGCTGTGGCTCTAAGCTGATGAGTGGCCTCCCTCCTGGCCTAATGGGCTCCGAAGGTCATCTCCTGAGGGGACCCTATGTCTGGGGGCAGAAACACAGATGCCGGAAGATCTGTGTGACCTGCCTGGCGCTGCTCACAGTTGGGACACATGCTCCACCCCCAGGCGTGCCCTCTGGATGGCCAGTGACAAGGACAACATTATACCGATGTCCACCACTGCCCCAGGGCTTGGTGCTGAGAGGAGACTTGCATTATGTCCCAACGACCCGGAAGGTAAGCGACAAGGAGATGTCCAAGAAGGCTCAGGCCAGCTGCCCAAGATCACCCACATGGCAAGTGGCAGAGAGCAGAGCTGAGCCTGAGAAGTTCCGGCTTCAAAATCTGTCTTCCCTGAGGTCCCACCGCTAACCCCACCCTCTGTGCGCATCATGATCCTGTCCTCAAGCCAGGGAGGGGAGTCCCTCTTCTCTGTAAACCCCGCTGCTGTCACATCTAGGAGGCAGTGACAGCCGCACTCCAACCCCGGCCCCACTCCAAAGCCTGAACTGTGCTGCCGTGTCTGAGGACCGAGGCTGCCCTAGGAGCCCCCTCTAACCTGATTCTCTTCACCGCTCAGCAGTGTGGGAGCTAAGCTGGAGGCCTCACAAAGTGGGGGTGGGTGTCGGACACTGTGGGAGGCCCTGCCCATGCTCCTGGCTGGCTGTGCTGGGGCCACAGGCAAGTTACTGACTGCTGACCCCGTTTCTCATCTGTACAATGGGGGCAGTGACCTCCCGGTCGCCCCTGGGCCATCGTGGGGATTCAATGAGCTCGTAATGTAGGTGAAATCTGCTAGCACAGTGCCTGGCATGGGGGGCACTGAATGAGGGGTGCTCAGTCTGAGAGAAGATGGGAGGCTGGCTAGCCTGGGAACCACGGTCTGGCCCCCTCAGTCCTGTGAGGAGCTCGCGAGGGTTCTGGAACACACGGTGGGAGCCACCACCCAGCAGCCCTGAAAGTGACTGACATCAGGGCCAGGGAGGAGGTCAGTGGGGACGTGGGGCCCTGAGGTCACTTTTTGGACCCGCCCATCGAGGGTCTCAGATCTGTGCGAGTCGGCGAGTTAACTTCACTTCAGCCTCGTCTCCTCGACCATAAAGAGGGGCTGGGACTGTGGAAAGGGCCAAATGAGATAACGCAGACCAAGTGCTCGCTGCGGAGTCTGCGCTGCCGCCTCCCTGCCTCCCTCCCAGTTCACTAAATAACTGAACAAATGGTGGGGATGCCCGCCATTCCCCTACCCGTGGTCACTAACGAGTGGCAGCACTGAGGTGGAAAGTGTCTGCCTCGCTGACCTGGAGAGAGCACAGAGGGGAGGGACGTCGCTCCCCAGATGATATCCGCAGGCTGGGCCCCCCCTTTGTCACACTGCTTCCCTCCCCAACTCTGCCTCTTAGGGGCTGGGATGCCAGAGCCCATACTTCCGGGCTCACCGTCCCCGGCATTTGCCTCAGCAGTGCCAGGGCCTGCCTGGGGTGTGCCAGCCAGCTGTGCCATGCCTATCTGGAAGGACAGGCTCAGCAAAGAGGCCTGGGGACCACTGGAGCAGTCGGCCCCAGGACACAGGAGTCCTGGGTCCCTGGAACAAGGGGTGTGAACTAGAAGAAGAGACATGGGGTCTCAGTGGTGTGTCTCCTTGGACCACACAGACTCCCCGCTCTGTGGGCAGGAGCTGGCTGAGAAGGGTGGGTGCGGGGGGGGGGACCCTAAGGGCAGGGTCCAAGTTCCTGGGGAAGGTCCCCCTGGCGCGCTCGGTACCTTTCGACCGCACAGGCTGTGGCCTCGTGGCTGATGGATGAGGAGAAGGTCTGCCACTGTCCCCCGGGCAGCTCTCGCACCTGCACGGTGAAGTACCGGATGGGGGAGGCCCCGTCGCTGCCCGGGACCCACTGGAGCCGGAGGCTGCGAGCAGTCACTTTTGCCTGGGGTACCAGGAGCTCTCTGGGGGGTGCCGGCCGCTCTGCAACCAAATGACAAACCAGGGACATGTGAGAGGCTGCTTTCCCAGGACAGCTCCACCTGACACTGAGTGTGCACTGCTGACACCGCGCAAGCTATTCTCAATGACGGGAAAGTCTGAAGGTGACACTCCTGGCTTCAGGGGGACGTGGGGTTGGTTCTCTTACAGCCACTTTGGGCTGACTGGAGACCCCTGCTCCCAGGACGATCTGCCCTCAGAGCAGAGATAGACAGACAGACAGTGGTGAACCAACCTACACATGCTCCCCGGCCACCACCCAGGAGTCTCAGTGACACCTGGGCTCCCAGAGCGCCTCAGGTCCCTTTGGACTCTCTTTCTGATTTTGGCTCAGTGCTTCTTTAGTACTGAGCTCCCGTCCCTGGAAGCCCAGCTGAGCCCCGATCCTTACGGGCAGGGAGCCCAGTTCTTCCTTGGGGCGACGGTGCCTCTGGGCCGTCCCCGGCACTGTCCTGGAGAGATGGGGTTGGGGATTCAGGGACATGGGCCAGAGCCCGGCCTCGGAGCGTGGAGCATTTATGCATCGCCTGGGTCCTCACTCCATCGATTTCAAGAGACAAACTCCATCGGCGAGAAATAATTGGTTAATTGTTTATCATGGAGGTTATTGATTCTGATTAGAGTGTGTGGCGTGTAATAATGCAGCAATGGATTGCTGGCCCGCAGTGATGGGCTGCGGGGAGCTCTTCCATCTAGCTTCGTGTTCCTTCCCTGGGCGCACGTGGCTGCACGGCTGCTCCCCATACCCAGCAACGGCCCCAGGGACCCTGCTGCAGAGCCTCCCTTCCGGGCATGTTGGTAACTGGTGAAGCTTCTTGGGATCCCTCTGCCTGAGCCACAGGACAAGACCTGCGGGCCCTGGTGGAAATCTCCAGAACTCTGTGGGCGGAGCAGCAGGGGGTACAAGGTGGGGTGGGGGGCAGGGCTCCACTCCCATCAGCAGCAGCTCAGCAGTGGACAAGGATACCTCCTAAAGGGCGTTCATGTTAATTCTTCCCCTCGGACTTGATTTAAGTCACATCAAACCTTTAGGAATCTCTCTTTTCCCTCTACTTTAGAAGGTGCTAAATATTCCGGAGGGGCTGGATCAACTCTGAGGGAGGGGGCAACAGGCACAGCCAGCCCTCTGGCCCCCCTGGGGGAGGAATCAGGGCCCTGTGCCTCCCCAGCAATGAAAGCGCCGCCCTGCCCATGGTTCTGGGGCCCTGTGCTGGGCACCCTGGCTCTGAGCCTGAGCCTCTTCCCCCACACGGGGGTAACAGGAGGACCCACTTCCGAAGGGTGTGGAGAGGAGTGGGTGAGGTCACATCACACACGTGCCTGGCTCACGGGAAGAGCAAACATGATGCTGAAGAAAAATGAATGGTGTGAACACATGAGGACATCCGAGGACACCGTCAGTGTTCGCTTTGGGAGAGCCAGGGCATTGCCTGCAGAGCTGGACAGCGCCAGGCGCTCACCACCACTTCCTCTGTTCTAAGCGCTTCACACCAGGTTGCCACCAGGTTGGTACCAGGGCACAGGGTGGGGGGACTCCACCTCAGGCCACGCGGCTCGAGCCTGGGCACTTGGTGACCCTCAGAGGGGGTGTCCAGATCATCTGTCTCGGCAGTTCCCATTGGGGTCTGCAAGCTCCTTCCAGTCGTCATTGTCCCAGGGTCGCTGGGTCTGGCCATGATCTCAGAACTCGGAGTGGGAGCCAACGCTGGCCCAGGCCCTGGAGAAGGAGGCTGTGGAGGCCGGGTCCAGGGCGAGGCCCCCAGCCGATCTCTGGCAAGAGCCAGCGAGGGCGGTCACACCTCAGCCCCACAGCTGTTTGTCCCGGGCAACTGACGCGGCCGGAGCCTCAGCTTCCTCTTGTGTAGATGTGGGGCTCACATCACGGTCCCCCCACCGAGAGAATGTAGACCCAGCACGCGCCCAGTGCTTAGAGCGGAGCTGTCCACGAAGACCGTTCTTTCCAGGGTCGCTCAGTGGGAAACAAGTTCACTGAGCATTTGCTCAGCGGCGGGTGTGGTTTGGAACGCCAGGGACCAGCACCTGCCTTCAGGGAGCTGCCCTCCGCGTGGCTGCGTCCTGGGCCAGTCACACCGCCCCTCTGAGCTGCGTCTCTTATTGTTAAACCTGGGACAGGCATGTCTGTGTGAGAGCGCAGGCGTGTGGTACATGTTGGGCTATGCAGACGCGCTATGGAAATGTGCCCAGCTCCAGGCACGGCCTCGGGGCGCGTAACAAACGCTCAGCACGCACCACCCCTCGCTGTGCGGGCCCCACAGGCCTGCCTGACTGAGGGAGGGAGCCTTGTGCACGCCGAGTTCAAGGCTCCCATTCCAGCCCATCAATCCTCCCCCTACTGTCCCTGACTGTGAACTTGGGCCTCAAGGTCTTACCTCTCTTCTCAGTGGTGATGACGGTGGCCTCCAATGGCTCCCCCCAGCCCTGCCGAGTCTTGGCAGACAACCTGAAGGTGTACGCCGACTCTGGGGCCAGCTCGGTGGCTGTGAACTGCCTGACCGTGGCGCCGACCTCCACCGTGGTGAACGTGTTGGGGTTGCTGCTGGCCAGGCGGTAGGCGATCTGGTACCCTGTGGGTGGAGGCCGGAGGGCCGCACGGTCAGTCACCCTGTCAGCGCCCAGGGAGAACCCCCCCCCCCCCCCCCCCCCCCCCCCGCTGTCCACATCACGTCTGTCCTGGAAACCCACACACAGCTGTGTGTCTGTTTCCTCACTGTTGGCCGTGTCCTCAGCCAGCACCTGAGAGGCAGATGCCACTGAGAGGAAGGCACGCCGCGGCGATGGACGGGCCTCTGAGCGCTAGTCCCCACGACACTGGCTCCCTCTCACCCTTCAGGGGATCAGCTGTGGAGAGGGGCCATCTGTGCTGTGGCCACTGGTGCCGAGGAGGCTGCAGGGGCAGTGGGTGTCGCCGGCGGGCAGAGCTCGTTTGTGCTCCTCGCTTTCTCTCTCTGCCCTCCCCTCCCCTGGGCCGAGGGCAGTGTCTCTGTTAGAAAGTTCTTTAAGCCGCGCCCCTCCCCAGCGCGGCCCGTGGAGGCGGGATGGCCGCCGAGCACCAGCCCTCACGCCGGCTTCCCAGGCTCCCTGCCTCTCATCTCCCGTCTGCCTGTAGACCCCCGGCTTCCCCACGGTCCCACTTCCCCTACGCCCACCCCCTGCCCCCTTGGAACATCCCTGGCCTGTGGAGGCTCTGAGCTGGGGGCTCCGCTTTAAGTAGCCTCCTCCTGTCAAGGAAGCAGAAGGGAGCTAACTAATCAGTTCAGGGAGGGCCCCGCCGGCTCCGAACATCTGATGATCAAGGGTCTGTGGTCCATCAGCATTATTAACGGCCAAGCCCTCACACCAGCCCCGCCGAGGCCCCGCGCATGCCTGGAAAGGCAGTGCCAACTTGCAGACCTGCCCCACGCAGCCTCCTTTGGCTCAGACAACGTGTTCCAGCTGCTGCGTTCCTGCGCCGGGCAAAACTAGAGCTGTCGGGGTGCTGTGCATCCCTGAACATTCACGATTCACGACGGCCAAGCGGCCAAGCGAAACAAGGGACTTTTCTGGGGAACCAGGCCAGCAGGGCTGACCTCCGTCCTCACGCGGGCCTTCTGTGCCCAGGTGGCCCCTGCAGACACGAAGCCACTGGCGCCTCGTGACGGGCCCTTCCGCCCGCCTGCCGTCCACCCCTCTTCTCTGTTCCAGATGAAGCACCCCTGCTCCTTTCTTCTCGCAGGTTCTGCGGCTCACTGGTGACCAAGCTGGCATCTTCCCAGCTCCTGCACTTAGTCACCTGTCCAACGATATAAGGAGCGTCTCCCGGCCGGTCACGGGGGAGGCCGGAAGGACAAGTCCATGGCTCAGGTATGGAGTCCTGGTCTCTATCACCACCCATAGACCGGGGGACAGCACGCCCTGCCCTGTCCACAGTGACCGCTGCTTGCTGACAGGTGTTTGTAGGACCCTGAGCTCGGGCCCCTGCGTGATCACTGCAGCTGAGGCTCTGCTTCCGATGGACAGTCTCGTCTCCCTGCCACGGTGACCAGCTGTGCCCTGGCTTCCTGGATGTGGTCCAGTCGGCCTTGGGCTTCTGGCCTGGGTGTCCCGCCTGACGTCTGTCCTTTCCCACTCCCTGACCTCAGACCTCTCGCCCTTGTCTCAGGGGCAGTCTGGAGTTTAGGTGCAACAGGAACCCAATTCCCAGCCTTCTGAGACCCTTGGACACCTAACGTCCTGAAAACAAGGACAGCGTCGTCACTGCAGCCACCATGGTGCAACTCTTCCTGCAGAACTCACAATGGTTCTCAGCAAGCAGCGTATTTATCCTCACTCTGCCCATAGGGAGTCAAGCTCAGAGAGGGTAAGCAGTCTGCCTGAGGTCACACAGCATGCAACCTGAGTCTGTCTGGCTCCAAAGCCTTCGCTTTGCACAGTCATATGGCTCCCATGAAGAGGAAACACCCCGTCTTCCCTTGCTCGGTCCTGGTGACTCTAGGCCACGTGTCCCTGGTGCTACCACAGAATAGCACACTTTCCCAGCGTGCCACGGCAGGACAGGTCGTGCTTTCGAGGCGCACACCCCTATGCTGCATCCAGGCTCTTCCAGTTCTTCGCTGAATGGCTGCCCCCTCGGAATCTCAGCTTGTTAGACTATGATGGGGGGAGGACAACGTGATCCTGCTGGCGGGTTACGGTCACATGAGGTGAGGCTCTAGGACCTGGCATGGGCACAGAAGTCAGTGCAGGTACGTTCTGGGCTGTAATATTGTTGTGAAATGATAGTAATAAGTCCTGCACCCCCCACAGCTGCAGGGTCTGCTCCTGTAGCCATCCCTCTGCCTGGTGGCTTCCATGTTGCTGAATAGCTATTTTTATTGATCTCAAATAAATGCACACTGCCGCTCATGCTGGCCTTTTATTTTCGGTTAACATGAGTTTGCATTGAGAACAGACTAACGTACGTAAATCTGGGGCCTGGACGCTGTCTACACACACACTGGATTCTGGGTAGGATGGAGCCGAGCAGGTTTCTCGTCCACAGTGGGTGACACCACGCCTGTGCCTGTGACAGCGGGAGATGCCGGAGATGTGATGGAACATGCTCCGGTTTCCCTAGTCACCGGGGGCCTGGCCACCGTGCAGGGTGGAGAGCTGTCCCGGGCGTCCTGAGCCCGTCACCCACTTCCCTCACAGACCTCCATGGCCAGCATTCGTTCTCTGCATCCATTCCTTCATATTCTGGGAAGTCACATGAGTGATTAAGGCGCCTCACTAATTCAAGTCGCCTTTCCCCAATAAGTATGAATTAATGAGGAATTACACACTTTTGGGAACAGGACATGATGACAGATGTGCTTTCAGGATTGTTTATTCTTTATCATGTTTTATCTCTGCTCAGATTATTCTGCTGCTGGAGTTAAATGTCCTGTGATACACTAAGATTTTGTTCAAAGACACATCTTTGTGACTCGCAGAATTCGGGGATTAATGGGAACTAGTCTCTCCCTGCTTTGCTGGGTCTCCTTTCGGTCCATGGCTCGCCTCGACCCTCCCGTGTTGTCCTCCCAGCGCACACCCCAGCGTGGCCTTGGCCTCGGCCACGGCTCGGCCTGTGCAGGCTCCTCCACGTGACTGCCCTTACGCCTCCCTGCTTTCTCTGGCAGGCCCGTGCTCCCTCACCCCGACTGGGCCACGTGCTGCCGTCTGTCTCTACCCTGTTTCCTGAGTGTGCGAGTGTCTCAGAAGCCCCTGACCACACAGCAGGGTGTCAGGAGACCTGGTCCTAACCCAGACTCGTGTTGACTCACCGTGGGTGAGTCCCAACCCCAGTACCACGTCCAGCTTTTCATCTCTAGCTGTGAATGGTGAACATAATTAGCCCCCACTTATTAAGAGGGCTAGTGATTAAGGGACCTGGTTAACGTGGCTGAAATACGGGTAGCCTTGGGGTACCTGCATCAGGAAGGAGGTCAGGCAAGGGGTCCCAGTCCCCTGCCGCAGGACCTGGTGCCAAAGCCACCGTATCTGAGAGGAGGAGGGACAACCTGAGAGGAGCAGGCTGGCTAACCCAGCCCCGCCGGGCCACACCAAGGAAGGGTAAAATGTGCCCAGGGCAGTAAATGATATTCGGAATGCCACAGTCTGTGGGCCACCCGTTGGCCTAGCTGGTGGGAGATGATGCTGACAGCTAAGCAGGGACAGGCGCTGGACAGAGGCCGGAGGCCCGGCCCACACAGGACCCTCCAGGCTCTGAGTATGCCCGCCTGAGTCCCGAGGGCTCACTCGCTCCCAGAGTGAGGTGTTTATTTGGGAGTTGACCCCAGGAAGCAGGGGAGTGGGGAAGGCAGCTGGCAGAGGGGGCTGTGAAGCAGTGACCCCTCTGGGCACTCTGGGGACGTGGAGGGGGCCGCAGTGTTGTCTACCAGCTTCTAGCAGTCACTGGCCAAGGGCTGCTGGCCAGGGCCGCTCCCCCAAATGCCTGGCCCAACTCAGAGGGAGCCCCCGGGCACAGCACCGGTGGCAGATGCTCGGGAGCTGCAGGGCGGGCTGTAGGGTGGAGAGCTGGGCGGGAAAGGTGGTCGCCGCACACAGCACCCGCGAGAAGCCACCTCACCAGCCAGAGATCACTGTTACATCTTAGGGACTCTTTCTGGTAGTCATTTTTCTATGCATATGAATTTGAAACAAAGCTGATTTGACTCTAAATATAGGTTTTTCATTCTGCTATCTTCTCACCACATATGGAAAGCATTTTTTCCTTCAGAAACACGAGTTTAAAAGACTGTGTAATATGCCCTTGCACGGACCTGCCACTTAAGGGCTAAGTAGGAAGAGGGGCCCTGCATCAGGATTGGCCTGCCTTCCTGTGACCCCGAGTTCCTGCCACGTGGAGATGACAATGTCCCCTTTCCACAGTCAGAGACGATGCTGTGAGATAATGCATGTAAATTGCAAAGCACAGTGTCATTTGTGTCTAATCGCAGGAAATCTGGGCTATTATTTCTATCTCTGATCCAGTTCCCACACTGACCCACTGGGAGAAAATGCCTCAGCCTTGGGTTAGATTTGTACCTTCCTATTATTTGCCCTAAAATAATAGTCTCTAGTCCCCATTCTGTGGTCTGCTGAACATAAAGATTAATACCTCTATCTTCCCTTGACACGTTTTTAAAACGTCCTAGACTCAATGGACAATACAGGAGAGCCCTTTTCTGCACACAAATGGGAACACGCCGCAGCTGAGGACGAGTTCTTGCATTTTTAGAGAATGATGGCAGATAGTGCCGAGAGATAAAAGCGTGCGGTGGAAAAGGCTGGTTATGTAATTACGCCGCAGCGAGCTGAATCTCGGCAGCCAGGTCAGAGGACTGCGGTGTGAGTGAGGACAGGATAGAGAGGCTGAATCAGTAGCAGGAGTGAAGTGTGCCCGAGGGCAGCCTGGTTTTTAAAGCTACAGGTGAATTCGGGAAACACAGACATTGTGAAGAGCGGGCCGAGAACGCATGACACTGACCCAAGCGGAAGATGAAAACTATGGCGTAAGCGAAGCCCAGACGGTTTGTGAAAGTGCCTGGAAGATGGTGGGAGCTCTGTGCATCTAGAAAATCGGAATCGAGAAAGGGTAGGGGCTGCCAGCACCAGCCAGGTTCCAGAACCATCCTCCGAGTGGGGTGCAAACAGGAAGAGGCCGAGAAGCAGCCACGGCAGCCTTTGGCGGGGTTCTCAGCCGCCTCGGTCAGGTGGGCTGGCCGTGGACTGACCCCAGAGCCACTTTGCACAGTTGTACACAGACGTCCCAGGCGGCTGCCAGCCTTCTGTGGACTGCATGCTTCCTGGGCTCCCCAACGGCCTCAGTCTGAGAGTCGCCTGTTCAGTGATCCATCGCTGGGGCCCTGACGCTCAGGTTCCTGCAGCCAAGGCCACCAGAGGGGACATGGTGTCGCCTGGCCCCTCGGTAGCCACTGTGGGTGGGTGACAGCCCCACCAACACCCAGTTGTTCAGAGAACCACAGCAGCTGAATCGGCCTGGGAGGCGTCAGCCCAGCCCAGATGCCACGGGGCTTGTCGGCGCTCCAGCTTATCCGCCGGAGGGCTGGGAGCAGACGCTGCAGCAGTGGTTCAAACTCTGCACTGCAAACATGGATCACACTCACCTGAGCACCTAACTCCAGCGCCTTCTTCCATAATAAGCCAAAGGTAAATGTTAGGCCCTCGGCAGGCAGGTGGAGGTGGGAGATTCTGGCGGGTCTGGCGGGGAGGATGGCGTGGGTTTGAAGAGCACTTGCTTCATTCATTCCAGCTTAACAGCATTTAAAGGAGTCCTTGGCAAGTGAGGGAGGGACCGTCCTCAGAGGCGCCCGCCGCAGCCCCGGAGGAAGGCTCTAAATGCTGAAAGCCCTTCACAGTAACATGTTTACGCAAATGAGCAAGCGTTTCTCCCTCGAGGTGCCTGCCGGTGCTTGAACCTGTTTAATACGGAGCACAGGCGCGTGGGCTGCAGCGCTGCTCACATACTCAGATGGCTGCGTGGCTGCAGGGGCAACGCGGGTCCAAGGTCTCTGGGGGTAAAGCGAGTCTTGCACAAAGACGTTTTCTTTTCTCGCCCGTGAACACCAGTCGGAATTTGAGAAGCTGTTTCCCCATCTTTCCTACCGTGTCTACAATTCAGCGTGCTAGCTGTAGCAGTCTCCAGGTGACAGGTTACCCAGACGACATATTGCCACTGCAACATGAGAGGCTCAAATGGGGTGTTTTCCGCGTTCCAGTAGACACGGCGCTCTCTCATGCAGCATGTTTGCCACGGCTGAAATGCTCAGCCTTCACATACTATCCTCTCCTTCTCTGGGTTTTTGTGGTTTTCAGTGGCCCCTCCCCCCTCTCAGGGACCACGGATCAAAATCCAGACTTTTCAACACACCTGAGGAGCACCCTAAAACCTGGCCCCAAGCTGCCTTTTAGGTTTTTCTCACTACAACCAATATGGAAAGGGAACACTTTTGCAACAAAGGGCAGTTAATATTCTTAATGATCGTATTGCTTGACATTTATTGAGCTAAAGGTCATGGCACTGAACAGTAGAGCCAGCCTCCAGCCCAGACTCTGGATGGTGCTTAGTCCCTTGGTACTTATGATGCATCAACACGTAAAGAGCACATAAAACTCCATAAGGAACAGGTGAGTCCCCAAGAGGAAATGGTCAGAGGACATGCTACAGGCTCCCCGCCCCCACTCATGGGTTACGTTCTAACCCCGAGCACCTCAGCATGTGGCTGTATTTGAGGACAGTGTCTGTACAGAGGCGGTTAAGGCAAAAGGAGGTCAGATGGTGGCCCTGTTCCAGTATGGCTGGGGGCCTCATAAGAAGAGGACGTTAGGACACAGACACGCACAGAGGACACAGCCATCTGCTAGCCAAGGAGAGGGCACAGGAGGCCCAACCCTGCCTGGTAAAGGACCAGGCAGGCCCTCCCAGTGTTTGCAAGGAAGACCTTGGATGTGTAAATGAAAGTCACGGCAACAAAGTCACAGCACAGGGCTGTCTATGGCAAGAGACACACGGGAAACGCAGGCTTTCCTGCTGTCCATCTCCCGCGGAGTCCTACTGGCAGACTGCCTCTCCTCGGCCCGGGAGGCCATGGTGAATGCAGAGATGATCAGAGTCAGGACTAGCCGGGAGGATGGGCAGAGGCAGCGGGGAGCAGAGCTGCCACCCGGGCAGGGCAGGGCCTCTTCCTCAGCAGGCCGGGGAGGCCCCTGGTTCCTCAAGCGATAGGCCGGAGTGGCACATTTCGAGCTCTAAAGACGCTTCCTGTTCCACAGCATGCTGGGGACGCCCCAGGATAGTCAGCTATTTAGCCCCGTTCTGAAAAAGGCGGTAGCCTGGGCTCTGTGTTGAGGGCAGGCCCTGCCTGCCAGTGGGCTGCGGGAACCTCTCAAGAGGCCATCTGCTCTGCAGCCCATCTCCCTCCCAGCCCGGCGTGACAGGAGGAGACACACAGGTAAGCAGAGGCTTCGTGTGCGCTCACGGTGACTGGTAGCAAGTGCCCACAGTCCCAAAGGCCAGCCAACCAGAAACACTGCACTCAGAGCAACATACTCCAGGGACTCCACAGAGCGGGCTGCAACCCCTGGTGCCAGTCACTCCAGGATGCCCAGGCCCCCAGGCCCCGTCTTAACGGAGCAAGAGCTCAATAAATATTTGCCTTTCTGTGCCCCCTTCCCCAGCTGCCAGTTATTATCTAAAAGACACATCAGATCATGTCACTTTGCTGCTCAAAGTCCTTGGGTGACTCCCTACTGCCCTCAGCACAGATTTTCAAACATTCCTTTAGTAACTATTTGTAAGTTCAGGTTTATAGCCTTACTGTAACCCACCTAAACACAAGCTAACGTGCTGGGGGCTGCTGTGGGTTAGGATTAGCTTAACAGCATGCGGGAGTGCTGACCTGATGTGAGAATACACCACGCCCGGTGCCCTTGGCTTTGAATGCCCGAGTTTAAAAGTTGGGGCCTATGGGCCACCTCCTCCATGGCTCCAGGGTGCTCCCAGCAGGTAACAGCCCAGCCCAGCCACGTCTGCAGTTGTGGGTCTGTCTACACTCCCACAGAAAAAGGCCTCCTGTTCTGGCCGAGTGGACACCCCTCTTCCCTTCTTCCCAGGCTCTGGAAAATCCAGCCCCAAACAGCTGAGGGGTCCACCGAGACCCCTCCCCCAGGAGGAGCTGCTGGCAGGGCGTTTGGTGGCACCCCTCTGCATCCCCCATTACCCTGCATGACGGGTCTCCCTGATGGCACTGCAAGCCTCTCGAGCTTGGCCCGGCCCACTCACTCCTTACTTCCCGCTGTGCACTCGAAGCCTGGCACATCAAGGCCCTAAATGTGTCACGATGAAAGGGTGACGAGATAAAGGGACTGATGATTTTCTAAAATAAAAGTTGCTGACTTTTGGGAAGTAGGAAAAATTAAGGCCTTTCATCAGCATGAGCAGAGTTGTTCCTCTGCACAAACATTAAAAGAAACACTTTCCTTGGGACCTGAGGCATACTGTTCACTCTGTGACTTCTCCAAAGGGTCAGGTACATGCCCTGCAGCGGAAGCAAGATGCTCCCAGGGCCTGGGGCCAGGCCCAGGTCTGTGTTCCAAGGACACGGCAACATCGCCTGGTGGGGAAGGTCAGTCACAGAGGGCATCGCTGGGAGCCCCCAATGAGTGCAATGCATTCTGGGTTAACAGACCATAAATGTCAATCTGCCAACATACCTTAGCGCATAGCTCACGGAACTCTAGGGGGTCCACCACCTCTCAGTTCAGGAGAGGCTAGGCTGCGGTAGGCGGGATTTTTTTTCCTTCTTATACATCTAATAAAAATAGATGACATCCATCTAACTGTTACTTCCCTCTGAGCTGTGCCCTTTAGTTGCTGCTGCTCCCTTACCCAGAATGATGCCGTTGGGCTCCTCTGGTGGCTGCCACACGATCCGCACGGACGTGAGTCTCACTTCCGGGAACACCAGCCTCACCGGTGGGCCTGGGGCTGAAAGGGAAAAATATTACGTGATCCGGGTGCCGCTGCAGTGTTACTTGGGCACATGCCGAGGTTACGGAGGATCCTGTGGGCTGGCCGAGCACAGTCACTACCACGCATGATACTGGTAATGGGTGAAACACTACGTTTTGGGCAAATGACTTTTGGAACCTAATGGGCTGTGTGTGGCTTCCCTGCGGATTTTGAGAGAACACCTCATTTTTTGACCCAGCCCATCTGAAACTATGCTGGGCGTTGTGTGATGTGAAGTTGCATGGAGCTAGTAGGCCAGCTGCTAAGTGGTACCATGGAGTGTACATCAAGGTGAGAGTAAGGGGAGGGGGTCGGGGGGAAGTGGGGAAAGGGGTCACATACACAGTGATGGAAAGCAACTAGACTTTGTTTGGGTGTTGAGCATGCTTAGCGGGCACACATGTTGAATTATAATCTTGTACATACGCCTGAAAACCTATAATGTTATGAACCAATATTACCCCAATAAATTTAGCAGTAAAAAAACTTCACCAATCTGAGCTGATTTCTTTTCTGGGCTTGACATCCTCAAAGCAGGTGTCAGATAAATAAGAGGGCCTAAAGTCCCCCAATGCTAAATGGAGGTTACAATTATTGACAAAATAACATGTTTATAATCAATGCATTGTCCTAGAAAATTGACTTGATGTGCACAAATGCATATAATAATTCTTCCTGTGGTGTGGTGCATCAATTAAAAAAGCAGTTATGTGTTGTGGCACCAAGGAATAACAGGGTCACAGCTCTCGTAAAATATATTCATGTAAACAAATAGGCGCCTGAGTGTGTGGCCACTGTCAGAACTTCTTGTTGAGCTTGTAACTGACTGACTCCCGGGTGAGGGGCAGTGGGCATGGGACAATCACTACGAAAATAAAGCGATGTGTCACAGTCATTCCAGGGCTGCCGAGCTCTGCCTCTAGCAATGAAGCTGAGAACAGTATGTGAAACTGTCAACATGTGTTATGGCCCTTGTGTTTGGGTAACACACATAAGGAGGGGTCACGGGCTCGTGTGCCAGGACCTGTGCACAAACACGCCGACTCGCGCGTCAGTCTTAATGCCCTTAAGACCCCCTGCCCTGTCCCCAAGGCTGGTCATTTGGACCCCCCTGAAATGCAGGGGAGGCACAACCTGCTTGTATTAGAACTACGAGGGAAGGAAACCATCCTGTGATTTGCCGACCCAGCCTTCAGGAAGACATAATTAAAACTGACTGCGTTTTAAGGAATAAAACGCACCCTGGGGTGGAACCCGCAACACACTACAGCTTCATACAGTTTTGCAAAGAAACAACTGTCAGGTCACGTGTCCCCTCAGATCCCAGCTGCCCTGGGACTGTGTTCGGGGAGGTTGGGTGAGCCGACAGTTGGCGGCGTGCCCTTCTCTGGTCGGGTGCCGCTGGGGGGCTGTGTCTGCGTGAACAAACAGGAGGGTTTGCGCTAGGCAGGCAGAGTACCTATGGGCTAATTTAATTACTTCAGTAAAGATGCTAAAGAAAATCTGCAGTTGTTTCACTTCCATCAGACACTGCGGATCCTGGGTGCGGGCCTTCGGGGGAGACCAGTACTTTTCTCTCCGACATACTCATTAGTCTATCTAATAATGAGAACGGGGAGGAGCTAACCTCTAAGTGTTTGACATCTGCAAAGTGGAAAAACATATTTACTGATGATTTCGACTTCCATAAAAACAGAGCCATCGAGAGGGTCTGTTCGGGCCTGGAAACACAGCCCCTTAAACATGCACTGTGTGTGGTAACCTCTAGCTCTGATATGCAACCGATGGGAGCTGGCAGCCCTTGGGCAGTGGGGGCACGCGGGTCAGGAGCGGAGGCTTTCACGGGGTTTGCGCAGACACCAGGAGAGGAGCCACCGCCCATGTTAAGGACCCGCCGCCTCGGCCTCAGGGCTGCCTCCTGCAGTTACCACAGAGATCCGCACAGGTTCATCATTGGGCCGTAAACATTCACTCCCCGCTGAAATTGGCCATATAAATGCCAGTGACTGAAAAACAGTTTTGTTTTGTTTTCCTCAACTGAAGAAAGGGAAACAGGTGAGGGTTGAAAATTGAGGTAAGAGTGACAAGCATCCCGGGGGTCGGCTCGTGAAAGCCGCCTGGGCAGCAGCAGGGCGCCGAGGACACGCACCGTCGTCTTTGGTCCGCTCCAGCAGCAGCGGCGAGCTGGGGACGCCGTTGCCGATGCGCGTGAACGCCAGCACCTGCAGCTCGTAGAGCACGAACTTGCGCAGACCCGCCAGCAGCGCCGACTGCGTGTGGTTCCCGCGCACCACGTGGCTCCTGGGCTCGGCGTCCAGGTCTTTGGCCCGGAACAGAATCTGCAGCATCAACACAGAACCAGCGGCATGAGGACGCGAGCGCCGCGAGGGGCCTCGGCGGGCACGGGCCTCCTCGCAGGCCGGGGCCAGCCAGCTGCACCTCCTCCCCCGGCACGGCTGGGCCGGAGGCCCGCGGATCTAAGGTCCATAGGTCGGCATTTGGGGGAAGATGGCCACGGAGCAGAAGGGTCGCTGGCCCTGTGACCCCGCGCCGCTGGTGCGCTGGCTGCCTCGCCCCGATCAGCAAGGTCTGAACACCCGGCGGCAGCCACGCCAACCACAGCCATCAGAACGAGGGCTCCGTGAACACCGATGTGCCACCTCCTACCGCAGCAGCCAGCAGCCCCCTCCGTTTCCCGGCTGATTGGGCTCCTGCCTCAGGGGAGGGGCTGCTGTCCACTGGGACTTGGGGCTCAGCCCCCTGCCGCCCACTCTCCAGGCACCCCCACCCCAGTCCTCCCCACTCACTCAGATCTCACCCTCCCTGAGCTGGTCCCTAAGGCCAGTGACCCCGAAGGCCGTGAAAGGCAGGGGTCACCAGGGAGCACTTTGAAAATCGCTCGGCAAGCATTTTCCTCCAGGGCCCAGGTATGTGATGCGGAGTTTTGGTCACCGATCCCACTCAGAGGGGTCGCCATGTCTAATGGCCTCTCTGTGTCTAATGGGGCCATGTGGCAGCAGTTGGAATTCCCAGGGACGGGGACAGAGGAGAGGGGCTGATGCCATGGAGAGCACAGAGGAGGCTGCTCCAATCTACGCAGCAGCGGTGACCACGGGGGGGCCTTCCTGGCCGGTCCAGAGACCTTCATTCTGCTGCTGGGGGAGGTGACGGGATGAAAACAGAAGCAGGTGTTAAGGGCCCGGGCCAGTGCATGTGACACTGAAGCCAGCACGGCTCCCGGAGGCCTGGGAGGGGTTCAGCCCTTACCACTGACACCACTGCCCAGGACTGACCGGCGATGACAGCACCTGTGCAGACGCATGCACACTTACCTCATGGCACTTGGCACTTATTATGAGCACGACACGCCTGGTAGAACGACCCACCTCACTCTCACGCCCGCCCCGCCCACTACGCCCATTGACAGGGGCTGCAGGCTTGGACTGGAGCAGCCGCTACTGTAGAAGCCTGCCTTTGGCTGATGCTAAGAGGTTACCCCTGGTGCCTAATCCCCAGTCTGTAATGAGGCTTCGATGAGACAAGAGATGTGAACATCAGAAAACATGCTGGTGGCTGATGGGAGTGCCGTGCAGGAACCCTTCGCAGCCGACCCAGAGGGATGTCGCCTCAGCACATACCTTGTAACCCAGTATGAGCCCGTTCTGGTCCTGCTCCGGTACCGAGGCCCATGTCAGTAAAATCTGGGTCGAGCTGACAGCCACGGCTGACACGTTTTCAGGGGCGGCTGAAGGAACTGGAAGGAGTGAGTTAAATAGATTGGTACCCGAAGTCTGAAGGCTTTACAAGTGCAAGTCCAATTTTTACCCAAATAGTCAAGTTGCCCTTGAAACAGCAATGCATTCTGAGCAGTTTGTAGCAATCAGACTAAACCTACAGGGATGTGCCAGAAACGTAGGTCTCTTTAATATTAAGAAAAAAATCCCACAAATCCTGGGTAGTTAGGAGCTCAATTTCATGAGCAAGAAGGCACTGTTTGTATATTAACTTTCAGGGACTGCAGGCTTTATCTCAAATAGGAAATCCTCACTTTCAGGCTCCAGTTCACTGACATCTCTAAATGGGGTATTTTGAGGGGGACAGGTGGGGCTGGAGGGAGGGAGGTGATGTCGTGATCTCCAGGAAGGGGAGGGCTGGAGGGGTCACTAAGTGCTAATGGCCACGTGTCTTCAGACTATCACACGCAGTCTCCACCATAACCCTACGAGCTGGGGATCGTTTCCCCAGTTCTATAGACAGAGGAACAGAAGCTGGAGAAAATCGCATACATCCCACTTACATGAAATGCTTTTTTACAAAGAGATAAACTTTTTCTTCCCAAATATGTCACTTGAGAGTCATTCATTTGGTTTTTCATTCAACAAAATAATATTAATTTGAGTAGTTAAGTGTCACAGAAAAAGAATATTTATAACCTCAAGTTTACCCTCTGACGGGGAAGGATGCTTGCCACACGGGCCATGTGGCACCCCAGTGCCGTCCAGTGGTGGCCCCCCAGCGCCCACTCCTGCTCTGTGCTGGGCTCCCCCTGGTGTCTTAAATCCCACATAGCGGTTACCTGGACAATGCTTATCATCTGCTTATTTTATAAAAACACAAGAGACGAACTCGTATCTTCAATCAACTGTGAATTAAAGGAGTCACTTTCATTAAAAGAAAAGGGAAGCCTACAATTTATCTGGCTTAATTTTCCAACTTTATATAGGATCAGAAGAGAACACAAAATCTACTATATGCCCAAGATATTAGTGCTATGTTCTAAAAACTCTGTCCTTGTCTGTAAAAAGAGAGGCCATCGTCATAGCAACACAACTGGTCCACCTCTCAAATCCTTAACTGCTTCCTGCGGGTCAATCTTTGAAACTGTAAGTGCCCAATTCTCAAGACAGATTTATAAGTAATCGCTGATTTTCTAAGATGTGGTAATATGTGCATCCATTTACTGGTGGGCCATCCTCAGCCTCAATGAGGGCGGCCGGGTGATTGGAGCAACTCAGACACGACGCTCAGAACACGGCCGATTTCTAACAAGGTGACAGCACAGAAACAACAGCGTTCAGGATTATAATTTCAGCTGATTCCAGCTCTACCAGGAGAAAAACTGTTTTTAAGATTTGGGTAAAAAAAAAAATTTACCCATTATCTATTGGACATACATTCAACTCCTTTTCCACTGACATCTTGTTTTGAGAGTCTTAGAAATTCCCTTTCATTAAAAACAATACCATTTAAAACGCTGTTTTCTTCCCTTCTTCGTCTGTACTTTCCTCCACAGCATTTCTCACTGCTCAGTTAGCTGCTACTGGATTTTTAAGGCCCCATGTATCCTTATATCATAAGATGCCATGAAACCAGTTAGATTGAACTTGAAAACCGTAAACGTCATTGCAGCGAGATTCCGGCTGTCCTGCTCCATGTTCCAGCCTGGCTTCCAGTGCCTGCACATGGGGCTCGTGTTAAGTGCCAATGGTTGGCTGTCTTCCCCGGGTGACACTATTCCAGACGGGTCAGCAGCTGCTTCTCCTTCTCGGCACGCCCCCGTCCAGTGGCGCCCTCCCTCCACCACTGGGCCCTGGCAACCCCTTCCTCCTCGCCTACCCCTCCCCACCTCACAACGCTGGGCAGGGCCTGGCGGTCAGTTCTCCGCAGGGAGCTCTCTGCTGGGGAGGGTCAGTGGTCGGCTTTCGGCAGGAGTGAGGAACAGCAGACGTCGGAACTGCTGCACCGACGGGCTTGCCGGTGCAGGCGAGGGGCTCGTGTAGCACCATTAGGAGGTGGCGGCCGGCAACACTGAGGGGTGCCAAGAGTGCCCCGGGGGGAGGGGCCGGCATCTGAGCACCAGGACCCTAGAGGAGGGGCCCTGAGCAGCCCTCTCCCTGCACTGTGAGCAGCTGACATCTGAATCCTGAAGTGTGAAGATCAATAGCCCCATCATTCAATCTGCGATGAGAACACCTCCTGAACCCAAACTCTTCTGCCCAGCGGGAAGTGCGTGGGGACAAAATTTCCAATTGAACATTCAACTACAGTTAGAAATAATTGTCTGTAGGCCACAGCTGTCAGAAGGAGCGGGTGTGACGCCTGACGAAGCAAGGCTCCAGTGGCGAGAACAACTCTTACTCCAGGTCAAGACCAAGACCCTTGTCAACAGTGAACGGTGAGCGAGTGTGACGATGCTGAAGTGGGCCAGCTCTGCCTGGGGGCTGCATGTGACTCCGCTCTGGCCACACACGTGTGTCTTGGTTTCTATCTAGGGCTGGAATTGCGGGCTCACAAGTGCCTGCGTGTCTGAGGAACTGCCAGGCGCTTTCCCACAGCAGCTGCGCTCCCACCAGACATGCGTGAGGTTACTTTGTCCACATCCTTGCCAGCACCTGTTCCGTCCTCCTTGCGTTTCAGTTTCATTTGGGCCATCTCAGGGGTGTGATTTACACTTTCATCGCCCTGATGGCTGGTGACGCTGCACACCCTTTCATGTGCTGTTTTGGCCACATGTCTGTCTTCTCTGGAGAAAGGTCTACTCCGATCCTTTGTCCAGTTTCCAATTGGATTTTATTGTGCAGTTGTAAGAGTTTTTATAAATACATATTCTGGGTACAGGTCCCTTCACAGATGTATGATTTGCAAATATTTCCCCCCATTTTGGGGGCTGTTTTGTTTTAAATTTATGGTTCTTTGAAGCAAAAAAGTTTTCATTTTGATGAAGTCCAACTTGTCTTTTTTTTTTTTCTCTTTTGTTGCTTATGGTTTTGGTGTCTGGAACCAAGTTTAACATTAATGTCTCTACTGAGAGTTTCTGGACCATTCACATAGAGTCGGGCCCAGGACGGAGTCCAGGCAGACACAGAGGAATTTCCCTGGGTGGATACTTTGAGTCTCCTCTTTCAGAGAGGGTGCAGTCTTCAAGAGCTTTGTCTTTACACAGGGTCTCCGTTCTACCCCCTTGCCCCTCCCCCATGGACCCAAGGCTGAATGTCCCGGTCCTGGGTGGGCGTCACATTCCGAGTCCTGAAGCCACCAGGACGGCCCCAACCCGACCCACAGCGCCAGCTCAGCACCTACCGTTCCAGCTGTCTGTTCCCTTCATGCCTCTGACACCTGTGGATTCCCGTTTTTCTTATAAGCACATCAATAAATTTTAAATGTCAACAAATTATATTTCATCCATAATCTTCTAGTGTTTTTTAACAATGTTTTATTGATCTGCCTATTACTGAAGTTCGAACTATCCCTTGGAATTTTCAAGTTCTCCTCTTTGCCCGGGGACTCGGGGGAAGCTGCTGGAAGGCGCTGGTCGCCTCGTGCCTCCTTCCTGTCCCGCGTGGGCTTCCGGGGACCCTAACGGACCCCAGCCCCACGGGCTGAGGGAGCATCCTGGGAAACTGCTAGGCCGTGGCAGAGCTAAGAGAACAGAGCGGGCACATTCACGTAATGGAGACGCTGGTGGAGGGAAAGAGAAGGGCGAGCAGTAACGTGGACGCAGGCAAACAGGAGGGAGCAGGACTTCCTGGGGGGCGGAGTGGGGGGGTCACTGCGCCCTTGACCACGGCCTAGCTCACTGTCTCAAACATCCGACCTACCCCTGGCCCTCATCTGGGAGGAGGCCACGAATGGGTTTTGAGCACCATTTCTTACAGCTAAGCTGGTCTGTAATTGACAGCCCCTTGATATGTCACATGCATGCTGTGACACCATCAGGAAGGCGCAGTGAGTTTCATCTTTAAGGACTGTTAGCAGCACTCTTCTCTTCATGTTTCTACAAACTCAAACCAGGCCCGTGAGGGTCTCCAAACCACTGCGGACGGGTCAGCCCACCAAGCCTGGGAGGTTAGAGGAGCACAGCTGTCTTCAGCACACGGCCCAGACCACTGAGTGTTGACCAGAAATGCTTTTGCTTTCCTTCCTGGTCATTAGCCGGAACCCCGAGTCTGATGAGCAGAGGGGTGGGGGCCGTTTCTGGACAGGTTTCAAGGAGTAGGTGTGCCCATTCTTTGTTCTTTCTTCTCCCCCTGGAACCTGGATGCAGTGGTCATTCGTCCTACAGGACAGCAGAACCTGGGTCCTTGAGTCACCTCATGGAAGAGAGCCGCCCAAAGAGGACACCCATCTCAGATGGCAATGAGTGAGAAATAAACCTCTATTGTGCTACAGCGATTGAGCTTCTGAGGGTCTACTCGTTAGTGTGGGCCAGCCTATCTTCTATCACACACTCTACCTTGTCAAGAGGAAGTCCTCAGTACCTTGGATTATAAAGATGTCTCTTAGGATTGCTATACACTCTTGCTTTTCATCACTGATGGTGGAAATTATTCCTAATTAAAAAAGTAACAATGTGAGTCCAGCTCCTGGTAGAATTCATTATTGGTCTCAAACTGGCATGGGGTTCTAATGAAGTTTTACGTAAATTAATGTTGAGGTTGACCTAACTAACTACTGGGTTAGGACTATGCTCGTAGACACAGGTAGGGCGAACCAGCAAGGAGCCAGCGAGATTACGGGGGGCTGAGTTCCATCTCTGGGAGACACGGTGAGGGGCTGCGTCTCACCTGACTCCCGCGTCCGTCCCCGCACCACCTGGCTCCAGGGCCCGGCCCCGATGGCGTTGAACGCCTGCATCTGCAGCTCATACTCGGCCCACTCCTCCAGCTCCTCGATGGTGAACTCCCTCTCCAGCCGGTCGTTGATGACTTGGGCCAGTGCGGGAGCCTGCAGGTCGGGGCGCCAGTACTTGATCCTGTAGCCCACTGATTCGGGGTTCCCGTTGTACTGGGAGTCAGGTAGGGGCTGCAAGAACAATGGTCATGGTAAGCTACATCCCAGAACGGTCACCTGTGAAGGTCTTTAGGTGTGGACCTGTCTCATGAGGCCAATTCCACGGCAAATATTTCCTGGGGGAATGTTCTTAGGAACTTTACTCTGTTTTTCCCTAGAACTTTCCTTCTGTTAATTAAATGAAATCCTGTCAGTAAATGTGGCTGGACGTAATTTCTTTTAATACAGTTTGGCTTAATTTTGTGGGGAAGTGTTCTGATTAAATATCAAGCTGGCTGTCTTACAAATACTGAGCATTGGTTCCATGTTGACCTAGCTTAAGAACTTAGAGGTCCAGCCTGCAGCACCCCGACTTTCCTCCCCGCAAAGACAACTCCACAGTTCCAAGAAGCCCGTGAGTACTGCTGCTAATTAACAAGAAAGCCTGGGCTGGTCTGAGATCCAACACCAGGGCTAAAATGCAATACTTTTTGGTTTAATGATGAGATTAGCCTTGACTAGAACAAAGCCATGGCTAAGAACTGACTAAGCTCAGTGTGCATGTGCGCGGCCTGGGAATCAAGGCCCCTTGCCCTCCTTGTCCCCCTCCCCCCGACTCACCACCCAGCGCAGCCGCAGGCTGGTCTCACTCGCGGTTCGGACGGTGATGCTGGTTGGAGCCACATCAGGGGGGGCCTGCAGTGTCTGGATGACCCGGGATGACTGGCTGAAGGGGCTGGACCCCACAACGTTCACCTGCCTCATTCGAAATCTAGAGGCCGAACCAATGGCGACAGTTATGCCGCAGCAAAAGTCATGTGGAAAAGCAGAAAAAGCGAAGCCTGACAAAACCCCCATGACTGTTTCTCAGGGAGGGAGGTTCACACATGTGTCCACTTCTATCATAAAAGCCGCTGCTCACGGGTCCCCTTTCCACCTGGTTTCATTAAAAATGCAAATTTCGCAGATGGCCCTTTTCTCTTAAAAACTGCAAAGAATGGTGAATCTACTGCAAATCAACGTTGCAGAGTCCCAGTGGAAGCGTAACTGAGCGGGTGATGGGGCCAGAGATCTGTGTCATTAGCTGCAGTCGGCTGAGTCCAGTTGACGATAATATCAGGGGATCAGAGTTCAAGTAGCTACTTAGCAGAACTGGAGCTTTAGAATGTCACCACCAAACGGCAGCTTTGAAAGTCCAATGTCTCTCTAATGACTAAGGGCACCCATACCCCGTGCCCTGTTGGTTCAGGGGCGGAGCAGTGGCCCCCAAATCTACACGGTAGGACTTGAACCCCGTCCGTCACAGGCCATCAGCAAACCAGACTCGTCTCTGTTTTCTGGGTGATAAAACGAGGCTGGTGTGAGATGTAGTTTAAAGTGTATGTTCCCGTTTTCAGTTTTTTATGCTCTGTATCCATGTCTACAACGATCTGAATTGAACTTACATACAAGAAAGATGCCCGAAGCACACACACATTTTTATCACAGAGGCCGCATCAATTTACACGAATTTAAGACAGGGACCCTGGTCTCTGATTGCAGTTTCTGATCTTAGAAATAATTACATAGCAGATACTAATTTCACATGGTAAGTATCGAATCCCAACAGCTCATTATATGCTAAATGTTTTTCTCTAAAAACGAGTGTTTGGTATCTCGATTCATCTGCTCTCATCTTAGAAAGGATGACAAAATGAATAGGAGCTAAACAGCATCTGTCATTAGGATTTTTTTTGTGTTTTGTTTTAAATGCCCTAACTGGTGCTGTACTGAAAGAATATTCTTCACAAAGACGTAATTCCACCTTTTACTCCCTGAATTAGTCATTCTTGGTCTTTTATTCCCTGATCTCATGAAATGTATCCGTCCTGGCAGAGCAATGATATTATCAAACTCTGCATCTGGTGATAACTGGAAATTGCATCTCCTTCCCTGATCTTACGGGAAGTTAGAACTACTCTAACAGCTCGTGATCCTCCAGCTTTTGTCAGGACAAGGATTTACTGCCTGGATGAGTTTCAGGGTCAGAGGCAAAAGGGCACATGGCATGTTAACAGCCTGATTAGTGAGGCCGGAGCGCCTGGGCCCTGGCAGGGGACTGGAGGGACGTCACCAGATCACCGCTTGGCTCCCACATGGCACGTTCATGGTCCCAAGAGGTCGCAGAGTCCGTAAAGAGAAGCACCGCACCTCTGACTGGATGACAGTGAGCCACGGCCATCGGGCGGCTGGCCAGCTGGTGCTGATGGGAGGAACGCTGATGATCAACCACCCGGGAAGAACCTCGCCTGGAGTAACACTCACCGCACACTGTGCTCCTACAGGGTCGAGTGACTGTCACTGCCACTTGGAAACGTCTCGCTTACGTGCATGTAGCTGGGTTTTGCTACAGCAGACGGAAGTCACCTGAAGGTGCCCGCTTCCTCCCGTGGGGGTTTGTCACCGGCGCTCTCACCTGTAGTGAGTGTATGGCGTGAGGTTTGGGATCTGCAGCATCTGGGCATCAGGTTCGTTCTCCTCCTCGTAGAGGCTGAGCCACTCCTCCTCGTCGCCGATGGCTCCAACCTGTGGAAAGGGAGACGCTGGGACCGGCAGACGGGCCGCGGGGGGCTGGGCACAGCCACCGGCGTCCCCCACATGTCGGGGCAAACTGAGTCCCCCCCACACCCCCAGCGTGTGCCTTGGAGAGTCAGGCTCTTGTTTTCCCACCACAGTCAGGGCCTGGGTCTCCAGAGGGCTGACCCGAGAGTGAAGCCACTGGAACAAACATCTGAGGGCCTGGACACCCCGGGGGCTGGAGAGGGCCTCACGCGGCATCCTGTCCTTCCTCCCGGTGACAGTGGGGACTCGAAGAGAGGCCCAGAAAGGGAAGACTTGGCCAGGATCCCACATGGCCCCAGGTGGCCGGTGTCTTTACGTCGGGTCCAAGCCGTTCCCACCACATGCTGACAGGGGCTCAGGCTGTGTTCCCACCCTGCCCCGTTCTGCCCCCAGCACACGCCAAAGGCACCACCGCTGGCTGCGACACGGGAAGGCCCTTAGGCAGAGCAGGACTCGCGGCTGCCCTGAGAGCTGCACCTGCAGATGTGGGGGCAGAGCTGACCACCCCCCCAAACACAATCGTGCCCTTGTCAGGCCACCAACAAACCCCCTTGGGGTGCCCTGTGAACCTCCCAGCAGCCCCCTCACCCGAGTCTCTGGTAGTGTCTTCAGGTGGCTCCCACCCTCCGTGGACCCCCGTAACCTGACCGAGCCCTGCCACTCATGATTTCCTGTGACTGCCCACAGCAGCTTCTAGTACTGCGCGCACCAATCTGACCACACGTGGCCTCGCCGGAGCCTGCCGTGGCCACAGGCCAGCCAGAATGCCCTCAGAGCTCTGCCCTGCAGGTGTCTGCATCCCGGTCCCAGGCACACTCTGGACCTCGTGCAGGTTGTGAGGCTCTGGGGACCCAGGGACACATGCAGAGGGACGGCTGTGAGCAGAATCTTGGGCCCAATGAGCCGTGTCGAGGTGGGTCAGCTCAGGGCCCTGGGCCTTTCACACTTCATAAATGACTTAAATGACAGCAGAGGATACGCGCTCATTAAGTTTGCAGAGAATCCAAGCTGACAGGCAGGTGATCGGAGGTCAGCGCAGAGAGTGCGAAACGACCTTGGGAAAGAGGACAGATGGACACGGAGGACGAGGGAGACAGGGAGCTCGCATGCTGGGTGGCAAGTGCTCAAGAAAACCAAACGCAAAATGCGAAGCTAAGTTAAAAACATGAAAACGGTTTGGCAGTTCCTCAAAGGATTAAACATAGAATTACCACACGACCCGGCCCTTCCACTCCCAGGTATACACCCCAAAGGATTGAAAACTGGTTCTCTGATAGATACTTGCACCCCATATTCACAGTGGCACTATTCACAATCGCCAAGGTGGAAGCAGGCACGTGTGCGCCGACAAACAAATGGATCAACAAACTGTGGTCTGTCCACACAACAGAGTGTTACTCAGCCATGAAAAGGAATGACGTGCTGACATCCTACAGCGTGATGAACCTCGAAAACACAGTAAGTGAGAGCAGCCAGACCCCTAAAGCTGCATCACTGATGTAAGGTTCCATTTCATAAGATACACAGAGTAGGTAAATCCAGAGACGGAACACAGGCTGGCATTGCTGGACGGGCCCCAAACTGCCTGCTTAGAGATGACTGCTGGTTGGTCACAGGGCTTTTGCTTTGCCGAGTGAAGGGACCGTAACAGCCAAGGCCACACTTCCTGCCCTCCCACCCACTGCTCCGTCTCCTCAGAAAAGACCTGGATTTGAATGGGTGCCAGTCACTGACAAGCCCAGGTGGGCGCCGCATGGCTCATGAGGCTCTGCCTGCCACTTGTCCCTGCATCCCAGCCTGTCACCACCTGCAGGCATCAGGGTCTCCAACACCTGAACCTCGCAAAGGCCCGGTCCTCGCTCCAAAACACGCAGACCCCTTCTGCTGCTTCTCTGAGCAGCTGGCCGACGCCTTCAGAACCTGCCTCTGGGCCTTGGGACATCTCCATGAATGGAGGGGCCCCCCCTGGCCCCCCACTGCTCCCCAACCCAGCTGCCAGGCATGATGTCCTAACTGTGTGCCTTCATGGCATCTTCTCGGGCCTCCGACACAGCACTGATCATCTGTCAGCGCACCCAGTTAAAACCTGACTCATACAAGCACACAAGGCGTTAAAGATTCATTCTGCTCATTACTGAGGGAGCCGGCAGGGTGGTGAGGCTGGTTCCGAGGAGGGTAGCAGAGCCAAGGTACGTGGAGTCAGCGAAAGAAAGAACGCTGCCGAAGATTGCCGTTAGAAGGAAGACTGGTTATAAGACCAGTACGGCTGCAGCCTCCGCATCGGCACCTTCCAGTCTTCTACGAGTGAGCACCTCATGTTACAGAGCCTGGGCCAAATCAGAAAGGGCAGGTGAGACACAGGTGTTGTCCTGAGGGCAGAGGAGCCTCCACCAGTCTTACTGACAGGCCCAGGACTGCCTGCCATCAGCACACTGTGGCCCGCTGCCCACTCCTGTCTTTGTAAATAGTTTTATTAGTTTTATTGTTCACTGGTTTGTGTGTTGCCAGCAGCCACATCCACAGCAGGGCCTCATAGTGGCCGCAAAAACCATCTGCCCGAAAGCCTAAAGGACCTACTATCTGGCCCTGTCCAGTAAAAGCTTGCCTGCCGTGCTTGAGGGTCCCACCGGAAGGGCAGCCGTGCTTCTCCGGCCTCATTCCGAGGTCTGCCGCACTTGTCACCTTTGTCCCATGAGTGCCCCCGAGGCAGGTTCAGGATCTTACTCCTCACTGTACCCCCAGCAGCTCCCCCAGGGTCCAGCCCAAACTCGGGACCCAACCTGTTGGTTTAACATATGAATGAACGAATATACAGACGACCGTGTGCATGATTCCAAAATCAGAATTGAAAACGGGTCATCTTACACAGAGCTCCAAAAGCAGATTATTACCGAAAACAGTTTCACTTACAGACCTCTGGGGGAAAACATAAATTTCTATAATAAAAGGTTTACAGTTTGATCTAAAGAGACCAAGATTCTTTCTAGTAAGAAACAGAGGTCCTTTCATACTTGCTGGGCCCCTCTGGCGCTAGTTAGATTTCAAGACCATCACGAGAGAGTATTCTAGAAGTCACTGGCTGTTCACTAACGATGCACTGGCACAGAGGGCCGCAGAACTCTTTCAAGAGAAAACAAATCAGAGCTCCGTGGGGAAGCTGTGATTTTTCACGTTCTTTTCTTCTTTTCCCTTTAAAGCTAACAAACAGCACTTTATAATACTTATTATAAAAGCAGAAATGCCACACATCTCAGATGCCTCTCAGCAGGTGGTGGTCAGCCGTGCCCACTAGGCTGTGGTGCCACCCTAACGCACCAGAGATGTGGCCCTGCCCACGTGAGTGCCACCAGGAGGGCCCCGGGCCGCCTGCCTCCATGTGGGGGTCCCGGGCCGGGAGGCTGGGCCCCTTTGCACACAGGCTCTCAGTAATACTGGGGTGTGGGTGGGGGGAGGGGGTGGGAGTGGGGGTCGGGGCAGTCACAGTTGTCTGCCTGGGGAAGCCCCTGCAGTCAGTGGGGCCTCAGAGACGCCAGCTGGAGAGCAGCCCGCTGGGGCAGGGCCTCAACGTCCCCACCACAGGCCGTGGTGACCGCCCTGAGCTCAGCACCGCAGAGGCCAGGAGGTCAATGGCTGCTCAGAGGACACTCATTAACCTCATCCGAAAGTTAACTGCAAATGGAGAGGAAGCAGAGGAAACGGCAGCCTACGAGGGGGGAGGGGCAGACTGGCCAGTGGAGGAAAGGATGCTCCTTTCATCCAGAGCTAAGAGAAGGAAAAAAGACACTCCAAGAACTCATTCCGTGGAAGCCTGCCAAGCCAGGGCGCCCTCTTGGCTGAAACTGTGGTGTCAGCAGGAAAACTTGCACGTCAAGCAACTTGCAGTTAGCAAGTCCCCTCTTGTTCTGAGGGGTGTCCCCAGCAGAAGGCAGCTGGAGGGTGGGGGAGGGGGCAGATGGGGCAGATGGGGCAGCTGCCCGAATCAATGATTGCTGAATAGCTATTCTTGATTTCAGATAAACACTTGCTGCCTCTCACTTTGCAAGTCCTTTTCATGTGTAGGTTACGATCTCTAAAACGTGCTTGGAGATGTCTGTCACGCATGCTGAGGGGGTGGCACTGGTGTCCGTCCTGTCTCTCCCATCGGACACAACCTCTCTCAAGAACCATCCTGAATGCCCACACCTCCCTGTGTCTGAGGTTGGATTTGTGTCACTTCCTCAGGTCCTGACGTGCCAGTGAGGACTTGGGCTCTGTCACTCATGAAGTGAGGTATGTGGGGAGTATCGGGGACGGCACGGGGCGTGTGTCCCAGCCTATCCTGCCTGTGTGACGCTGGGCACCTCAGCCCTGGTATCTGTAATGTGAGGACAACAATGACCGCCCTGCCCGAGGGTCCTCGGGAGCCTCTGATGGGATGAGCAGGGTGAAGTGCCTGGCACAGCCCGCCTCGTGGCACCGTGCTGACACCAGGACATGCAGTCCCTCAGGGACACTTTTAGACAGATACCAACTAGCCCCTAGTAAGCCCCCCCAGGCCTCCACACAGCTCTAGCTCCCCTTCCGGGCTCGCCTCCACCTGGTCCTGCTCACACACAGCTGACCAGGCAGTCACTTAACCTCCCCAAGGGTGTATCAGCCACATTTCTAGATTCTGCATTTGATGTCCTGACATCCAGGGCTCTGCTGACCCTGCAGGGACGGCCCCTCCCAGGATCAGCCGAGTCCTAGAGAGAGTGAACCTCTCACCCAGGAGCACACCTTTCAGATGCAAACCCACCGGCCCAGAGCTCACACCCTCCTCTCCTCCGTGGGCTCTCACCCTCTGGCCACTGTCCACCTACCCTCGTCACCCAGGGCCGGTACCAGACAACCAGGGACAGACCTGTGCCCAGAGCCCGCTGGAATTGTCCAATTCGCCAGTCCCAAGCCTGTCACCCGGCCTCGCCCGCTCCTGCCACGGAAAC